CCAAAACCCCGCTCTAAGTATTAAGTTATGAAGGCCCCTAAAGTATTTTGAACTCGGCTCCAGGCCCGACCACAGGAAGCTCGAGTTTCCGGAGCCTGGCGAGCTGGCTGCCCAGGGAGGTTTAGGGTTCAGGGTTTACGGGTTTAGGGTTTAGGGGTTTAGGGTTTAGGGCCCAGTCCTGCCTTCAGACCTTTAGTAATCAAGGCAGCGGTTTCATTGAGTTTTTCCCTTATATTCCGACCGAAGCCTGCATGCAGTTCTTGGTCCATGCGAGCATGCAAGCTGGCAGTGGAATTATCCAGGCCGCACTGAGGACTGGTTGCAAAAGAAAGGATTTCGAAAGCGTCCCATCGTTCTCTTGCACTCGAGGCTCTGCGACGTCCTCCCCGACCCAGGCCTGATTCCTCTCAAGATGGAGGCTGGGGTCTGTGCAGACGTGGAGCTTGCGGTGTGAATGCTTCCTGCTGGCAGCCATTCAGCATCTCTGTGGAAAGGCCGAGGCGGCGAAGTCAGAAGCAGAGGTCTGCGGTTGTGCTTGACTGTGCGCAAGATGGGTAGGCATCCACCGCCCAAAGACGATGCTCGCTGTTTCTGATCTCGCGGCCTGCACCGCCTCGTTCTTGGCGATGCTCTCCTTGAAGATACATGCTGTGTGACCCAGGCGACTCCGAGTGAAGGAAGTAGTCGCGAATGTTCTCCGGAGCTGCAGCCTCAGACGGCACTGCAGCAGGCTACGAAGAGTGCCGGATCGTGCAGTGTTCCTTTTGCGATATAAGCTTGCCGTAGTGTTTCGTGTCAAGGCAAGCCGACTCAACTCGCAAGTACAGTTTCTATTGGTGCTGTCAGATGTGTTCTTCGAGTCGCTTGTTTTGTCCAGACTTGCTGGTATAAATTCCTACAGCCCTGCAAGAATCATGGAATCAAAGCAATTGCGCATCGTGGCTAATAGCAGTCGTCATAGCATCTGCTCCGAATCCTAAAATTACATGCCCGCCTAAACTCGCTTAAGCAGAAGGAGTATTCCTCAGGTCCTTGACTTCTAAGCTGGGCCTCAGACACATGCTATTCCTGAATTCAGGGCTTTGTGGTTACCTTCCCGATCCCCAGGCCAGGAGCACTGAAGCTCGAACTGGCTGAGCCGAGAGCCTCAAAGAATCCTGGGGGGGTCGTCTTGGTGTCGATGGCTTAACATTGCAAGGTAGGATAAGGTAGGTCTGAAGTGGTTAGTCTTTGGATTGAAGCGTTTTGGGGACTTGGTTCCAGGGCTGGGTTTAGGTTCAGGGGCCCAGGGTGGTGCTTCGATGTTCATGAACCTGGCTCGTCGGCACGGGCAAGAGGTTCGCAGACACCAGCTCTGAAATGTGATCAGAACAACCCTCAAATCTAATCATAGGCCCAAAGTCCAGAATGGAAGGCCTAAGCCACGGAAATTCATGATCTCACCACTAGTGCATCAGGAACACCACTCTCAATCTTACAAGCCAGGTACTGGGCAGAACCTGTGGAGGTTTGCGTCTTCCGTCCGATAAACACCATGCAAGCAGGAAAACCAAAGAACAGCTGCAGTAAGTCCTGTTGCGCATGCCCTGCTTTCGCGAACAGAAGCTTGATATTAAGATCAGTGATCTAGGTAAATATGAACAAATAGGCAGATAAGTAACGAAATGCACAGATGAATCAATGCACATATATATATAGAGAGAGAGAGAGAGAGAGAGAGAGAGAGAGAGAGAGAGAGAGAGAGAGAGAGAGAGAGAGAGAGAGAGAGAGAGAGAGAGAGAGCGAGAGCGAGAGAGAGAGAGAGAGATTGTTTCTGGCAAAAGCATTTGACCGAGGGACCGGATGACCCCCGAGCGGCCTCCTCTGCGGAGACGGCGCCTCGTGGACCTCAGGCCCAATCGAGGCGCCCAGAAGGGTTTGGGAGTTTGGGGATTTTCGGGCTTAGGGTTTAGATGTTGAGGTTTTAGGGCCAGAAAGACAGCAAAATGGATAAGAATCATGTGAATCGTGATGATAGAAGTAACAGTGTAGGTTCGGGACAATGGACGTGCGCATTGGAGGCTCAGATTAGCGAGCGCAGCAAGGTCGCCGATTGTCGATATAGCCGTTACACCTAGGGGCTTGGTAGTCAAGATGCCGCTGCAAACTCATCAAGCTTGTCGGGGCGTTGAGCTTTGAAGTCTGCCTTTAAATTGTGAGACGAGGCGAGTTTTCTCACAACCCCTAAACCCTAAACCCTAAACCCGATTTGGCACAAAAAAAAAAAACGATTTGGCGTTTCACTTAGGAGCCTGATGAGCTTTCCCGAGGCTCTGAGGCGCTAGCACTTGCAAGAAGCACCTTTCGGCAGAAAGCCATGGAAGCCAGGGAACCCCAAATCCCTTAATTAAGGAATGTACCTTAAATTATCGGGGCCTTATAGTATTATGATTTAAGGTACATTCCTTAATTAAGGGATTTTGGGGTTCTCTGGGAAGGTGGCAGCTGGCCCGAGAAGTGGTGCGGTCGGAGCTGCGAGCCGAGGAAGAGGCCTGGCCTTGAGATCAGACGAAGGAATCGTTCAGGGTTCCTTAAGGAAACCTTTAAGGGTTCCTTTTGAGTTGTGATCATGGTTCTCTTCCTTCGACCTCAACAGTCATCACAACACATGGGCGGAAACAGTTTGTAGAGTAGGTTCCGTGTTGCATCATAGTGTTTCTGCATGTGCTCAACCGTCAAAGCATCAAGAATCCTGACTCCCTATACAGCGCTACGGTGGTTGATGTTGATGATGTCGTAGACGATGGTTGTGGTATGTTGTGGATGACTTTTTTCGTCGGTCCAACCTGACCATCCTTAAGCTGACGCAGGTCTCGCAGCCCGAGCATGGGCCCAAGCAATCGGCCAAGCCGTTTCTACAAGCAGCCTTTTGCCTTCGCTGTCAGCGACAGCTACAGGGCTCAACTGGGAGCACGCACGGCTTCATATGCACACTTCGACCAGTGTTCTGAAGCTGTACCGCTGCCGGTCTGGATGCAGCCCTTGCCTGTTGCTGTGTAGAAATCCTCGGGTCGTGCAATCATCCTGGAAGATTGTGTCCAGGCAGGGCTGCTCTTCAACGCGGCAGTGAGCAACACCAGGCCTAGACCTGACGTGAGGCTTGCAAGTGCCACAAAGCAGCATCCCTGATCCGAATACTCGCGGCTCTGACCCAGGAGCTCAGCTACAAGCCAGGTAAGACAGGGAAGCTGCGAAGCTGCGCAGGAGCCGAGTGATCCCTGGACAGCTCTGCAGGCTCAGCGACTGGGTTCAAGTCTTGAAGAAGTCATCAATAATACGAATTCAATCATGGAAATACTTAATATTAGCAATAATACAAGTACTAATAATAGTATAATAATCAAAAGAAGAAGAATAGGTACCAGGCAGGACAAGCTGTGCGCGGCATGCAGTCGCTTTGTAGCGCAGACGTGCTTCCTGGGCATGCTTTCCATAACAGGCTTTCCAGCAGCGTTGAAACACATGCTTGAAAACAGCAACAGTGGTCATGCAGCGTAGCAACAGGATGCAGCAGAAGCAGCCTCCAAAAGCAACGAACATTTGCAAGCAGCCTACTCATCATCAGCATCGTGGCCACCATCTCCATCGCCATGAGACGTTATGGAGCAACGCTGATTCTTATCACCATTATTGAGTTCAAGTTCTATCATGGTTGAAATGACGGAGGACAGGCACATCTGGTATATCAATAGAGACAGCAGCAACACAGAGAAGAACCGTGAGCAGCAGCACAACTTGTACCGGACATCCCTGGCACCCTAAAGCCTCTGAATCCCTAAACGTCCTATACTATACTTAGTATACCTAGCACGAGATGCCAGACAAAGAACAGTCCTTACCGTTTTGCAGCTTGAAGCCATGACCCATGGACCTCTGGGTCCACCGGATGTGGCTCCTGGTTGCTGGACCGAGAACTGGAGCTAAGATATTATCGCTGGTGATAGTTAGTGCAGGCACGTACGACTACTAGCCAAGTCTGAGTATCGGTATGACTGTCATTATTTCTCTGTGGTTGTTTTTTCCGGCTCTCCCAAGTTGCCTTCGGAATCTGAGCCCGTAGTAGGTCCTCGACACCTTGAGCAAAGAGCCTGGTTTTGATTTTGCCTTGTTTTGTGGGTGAGGGTTGTTCCCTTTCCATACTAGCTCAGGCCTTTGCTGACACTCCCGTGACTCACAGTCTCGAGGGGGGAGTGCTGTTACATCTTGCCATGGAAGCTAAACGGGTTTAGAGGTTTAGGGTTTAAGGTTTGAGGTTCAGGGGTTTAGGGTTTAGGATGGTTTAGGGTTCCGGGCTGTCACAGTTTGGGTTACCGAGCCGGTCCATCCAAGGCAGTTGCTCTCGGTCTGGTCTTCTGGCCCGGCCCCTGCAGCTCCCTTCCCCAGCGACTCTGGCTCGCGAAAGAGCCTTCGCTGCCTAGTTGGAGCCAAAAAACTTCCCGGCCGCCCCAAGAAACCCCTGAGCCCTAAACCGAAAGAAACCTTCTACTGCTGTTTGGGAAGGCTTCCACTGTAGGGCAGCTCGAGAGTTCATAAGTCGGCAATCATCGCAGTGTTATGGGCAAAACTGGAACAGACACCGATGCCCCGGCATCGACATGAACAGTCAGAGTTCTTGCCAGCAGCCACCACCACCACCGCCACCGCCACCGCCACCGTTATCGCCACCGCCACCGCCACCGCCACCGCCACCACCACCGCCACCGCCACCGCCACCGCCACCACCACCACCACCACCACCACCACCACCACCACCACCGCAGCAACAGCAACGAAAACAACAACGACAACAGCATACCAGCACCACAGCAACAGCAACGAAAACAACAACGACAACAGCATACCAGCAACATGAGCATCAGCGCACTATGCTATCCAAGCTCAATCAGAAAGCCAACAGCAAGCGCTTAAAGTGGACGCTACAACAAGAAACTTGCCGTCTGATGTAAACACAGTAGACATACATGCATACACAGTACCTATACATACTGTGTACACATGTGCATAGATGGAGGGAGGGAGGGAGAGAGAGAGAGAGAGAGAGAGAGATATATATATATATAGAGAGAGATCAAACTTTTGTACATGAGGACTTGCGAAAGTCGGTGACAAAGAACAAGCACCCTTGGCTGTACGACCGGGCGCTTCGCAACCAGCCGGAGTGGCCTGACCGGGGGTTTTGAAGTAAGTCTAGGGTTTGTAGGGTTGTAAGCAGATTGCTGGCAAGTCGTCTTCCGTTATTACAGCTTGTGATGACGAGTGTCGATCCGTTGACCCAAATGTTGACAAGGTCGCACGGTGTGGACACAGGGTGTAGGCTTGTTCTCAAGACTGCAGTCCTGCACTTGCTCATGAGATCACCTAGCAGTGTCGCGCTTCAATGCTTCTGCTCGAGCTTGAAAGTGCAAGGATCCCAGCTGGCGAGATTGTGGCAGTTTGCTGGAAGAAGCAGATGCTGGCCTGTGGCTTTCATGACCCAACGTCACCTCTCCGCGCAGCTTGATACACTTTAGTCGCGATTGCTGAATCCAGGATTGGGTACATTCGATCCTGCTGGCCGCACAACGCTATTGGTGTGACGAGGTCCGCCTGCTGTGGTGGCCTGAGGATGGCCCGCCCATGCCAGGCGCGGTGTCCGAGAGAGTACTTTCCCATGAGGGTCAGCACTTGCAACTTGCAACTCTTAGAGTTCCCCGAACCTTGGACTCCATCCAATGCCATCCAACAACCACAGCCCGCCTCATAAAATGCCCAGAAGCTACTCGAAGCATCCCACCCTACATCCGGCTGTCCCATCCGAACGCTCAAGGTCCTAAATGTCCTAAGCCCTATAAATCCTACTGATAGTCCGGCTGCAGTGGCAAAAGGGCATGAGGGTTCAACAAAAGAATAAATCCTAAAGTCCTGAGCGCCGAGGCGACCCTTCCTGGGCCCAAGGCATTGCCCGCCGTGCAGCTGCAAGGCGCCAGAAGGATGCAACGCTGCGGTGCTCGAGCGGATTGCGGCTGCTGCACGGGGACCCTTGAGGGTTCCTTTAAGGGAGTTGCATTCGGGTTCTTCGGGGATATAGGCTTAGGGTTCTTGTGACTGCTTTATTGCTTCAGATAGCATGAGCCTCAGAACAATTCCAAACCTTCAGTGCAAAGCAAGATCCCTGTCTTTGAAGAAGAACTCCAGCCCTCAACGCTGAGACCCTAGCGCGACCCTAATCAAGCGTTTTCAAACCCCGGATCGGCCCTTCAACCCTCAGCTCCCTATTTCGCCCCTGTGGCGGGACCCGATAACGCCACATTCAAGCTTACTGAATCGTTTTAACATCCTCGTGATTCTTAGGAATCCCAGAAGACATCAGAAGAAATGCTGCCAGACATCGGAAGAATCGTTCTGAATTCTGGCCAAAATCTCAAACAGTTGCCACCGTTTCGAGGGGTCTCGCACCCTCTGATCGAGGGCTTACCCCCCTGGAGCTCCCCGGCACAACCCCGGCACCGAAAGCGTTAGAAGTCTTTGCGTTCTTTCGCGTTTACTATGTTTTTGATTTGGAAAGCCTTGTAAAGCCTTGATAAATCTTATAAAGTCTCAGCTAGATCGCCTTTCTCTGTCTTGTTTTGGGACCTTGTGTACAAAGCTTGTGTTCACTCGCTGTTATATGTCAATGGTTGTCTTGACTCATAACTGTTTGTCAACGTTTGTCTTAACCGGCCTTCAATAAGATTTTCTGCCCCGGGCGTTAAAGGCGCGTGGTTTGAGAACTTGTGTGGTATTATAGTGTTTTCTTTCTGACTTCTGATGCGAGATGTTATTCATGCTTAGTCTTATGTGCTATTATTTGATGCTTCTTGTTTGATTTGCTACGATGTTTTGTTGTTTGATTGAAGTATTTCCGTACGTTTTTTAGTATGGACTCATGGCTACCACTATTCTCATAATTGCCGGTGCTACTATTTGTCATAGTGTTACAGAAATGCAAAGAAGACTAGGAACAAGGCTAGAATCCATAAACTAGTAACATAGGACCATTCCTCCTAGGAGGCCGATTGGGCCCCCGGCCTCGTCCTCGATGCTTACGGTGACCGCGCGGTCTGCGCCTTCGATGGGGTCGGGGCGGAGGCTTTCTGGCGCCCCAGGCGGCGACTGAGGACTGACTAGTATGGGTTGACTTCAAGCGTAGTGGTAGTAAGAACAGCAGTTTCATATTGAGTATGAGAAGACCCAAGAACTAGAAGAACAGCAATAGCGTAGTGTCGATTTGGAAATGTGTGTTGATTTTGGGTCTTCTAGTCTATGGCATAGTAAAATAGAAGTTGTTATTCTTGTATGTTCCTTCTATACATCATGATGTAGAAACAGATGCTGCAGAGCCTTTGCCACGCACAATCGAGAAGTTCTCAAAATCGAGAAGCTCTGAGAGAAGAACCGGCATCTTGCAAGGTAAGCATGGGACGATGAAGCTCGTGATTTTGAAGCGAGAGCCAAGCGCCAGCATGTGCAAGCAAGTACGTAGGACAAGCATACGCAGGCTTGTTGGATTGCTGCTGATACTCTTTGCTTCAAGACCCTTGCCCTGTTTAACTGACCACGCCTGCATTCTCGTACCGTTGAGACAGGTTGCCCAGCATCATCGAAGCCTTCGGCGAAGCTGGTTACTGAGCTGAACATGCAGCAGTCTGCCTGATTGAATAAGTGGCTCTGGCTGGAAGCAAGGGTAAGTGAGTCAACAGGCTACCTTCTGCAAGTCAGGTCTGCCAGGCTGTCAGGTCTGCTGTAAGTTAGGACAAGCAGGTTCTGAGATCTCAGGATACAAACTCTCCGGCGTGCACTTTGGATGATTTCAGCAGCTCTTTTGCATTCCGTGGTTGTTCAGACGCTCGTCAGACTAGCTATGTTTGTTATCATCCACTGAAGGAGTGTTATCATTGGACCTTTTGGTTATTACTCATAGTATTGTTCTATTGCGATTCTCACTGTTGTTTATAGTTCTGTTATGGTTAAGGTGGGTAACAGGTAGCCAGACGCGCCAGTGTTTCAGCCACTGCTCCTCATGCGAAGGATCAACAAGGACGGCACCGAGACGCTGTGGGGAACTGCACCGTCAAAGGAAGCTTCCCGCTTCGAGGAGAACGGCGTCGTCTACGAGGCAATTTGCCCGTCTTGACGCAGTTTGCAAGACAGTGCCCACATATCCGAGCTGCAAAGGTTGACGTTTGGCACGGCCACAAGACGGGCTTCTTCCTGGACCAACGCCCCAATCGGCCGCTTGGCTTCGGAGTAGAAGAAGCCGAAAGATGGTGCGCTTTTTTTCTCTTGCAAGAGAGTATTGAAAGCCCTGCTGATGCCGTTGCGCTGGGGGCAACCTCAGTGAGGTCTGATCACTTAGCAATGAACATCCCCTTAGATAGCCCCCATATGAATTCACCCCGCGAACCCTCAACTTTAAACCCTAAAGCCTCGAACCGGCGCAAACGGAAAAGGGCTCATTAAAATAGAGAAACCAAACCAAAAAAGCAAGGAAGCAATAGTATGACATGGCAACGCCCGAGGCTTCGCCTCCGGGAGTTAGCAGCCGGGAAGGACGCCCCCACTCTGGCAGAGCTTGGGGCTTTACAGGTTCAGGGATTCGGGTGTTTGGGTTTAGGGTTTTTGGGTTTAGGGTTTCTGGGTTTTGGGGTTTAGGGTTTCGGGGTTTAGGCTCCAACTGAGAATCACTTTCATTGACATCATTCTCAGAGAGTCATTGTCATAATCACAATGAAAAACATAAGAAGAAAAAGAAGAACAGAAGCTACATGGCACTAATATATAAGCACTAAGCAGAGCTCTGGCAAGCAGTAGTAAACATAGTACTGCCAGTTGCATTGAAAACAGGAAGAATATGATTATGGTGATCGTGATGACGTTGGCGGTGGTGATTGGCAGCGTTGGTGATGTTGCGGTGAATGTCGTACCAGCACGGTGATGATGACAATGCTAGTTGCTACTACTTGTATTGTTGCGCGGTCGAAGTGCTGAGGCCTGCGACACGGGACCTACAAAGGATCAAGCCACATAGGAGCAAGTTTCACGCCTTCAATCGCGCTCTGCTTTTCCAACTATGCAGCAGCCTGAATGCCCCCGAAGTGCAGTATGCAGCAAGTGCCACTTCGACTGCAGGACGTTCTGGATCTCTTCAGCTTCTTGGTCACAACCACGAAGCTCTTCCTCCGGAGACTGATTCCCTGTGCCTGTGCCCGACATCCTCACCCGTGGATCGGACAGCCTCATGCAAGCCCAAGAGCCCACAAACAACGGAGCCCAAAAGCCCAGGCTACACCGGTGGCTTCGCCGTGGCAGCAGCTCTCGGGGGTGCCCCGATCTACATGGGGACGTGAGGGTTCCTGATTGTGAGTGATCTTGGGCTTGATTTGAGCACAACCCCAAACACAGGGCGAGTTGCACCGACTTCTTCACTGCATGTGTTAGGTGTGGAGTGATGAGTAGTGAGGCAAGGGCGAAACAGGCACAGCATGATCCTCTAACACGGCTAAGTCCAGCTGATGTATCCTGCACATGCTTCGGGCACGCGACCTGCAGCAGGTTAAAGGCAGAATGTTGCACATGCGTGACGTTACACCCAGTAAAGATCGAGTCCTTGCTTTATTCGTCCTGGTCTGGATAAGGTAAAGTACTGCCTCTTTGCCAATTTTACAGTGGCCGTACGGCGACGACACAAACGACGTCCTCCAGGACTAATTATCACTGCCGCTACGACTGCTATTGCGGCTGCTACTCCCTACTTACTAACACTAACAACCACTATCACTACCACTGTAACGTCACCCAAACACAGCTGCCACGACGCCTGCGACCACGACTACTAGTTCTGCTGCGGCTGCTACTACTACTACTATGCCTTCGACTACCACCACTACTACTACGACTACTACTACGGCTACGACTACGACTACGACTACGACTACGACTACGACGACTACTACTGCAACTAAGACAGCAACTACAAGCATAGATCATGTTTAAGACCTCAGGCGCACGAGTCTGCTGCGCGGTGGATTCTGCCAGGAAGGCTGTTGAGGCTTTGGTACCAGAGCTGTGATCGATTCTGTTTGAGCTTTTGAGGTCGACTTTTCTGGGGCTGATGGGCCTGGCTTCGGTCGGTGTCGGTGTGTGTGTGTGTGTGTGTGCCTGTGCGTGCGTGCGTGCGTGCGTGCGTGCGTGCGTGCGTGCGTGCGTGCGTGCGTGCGTGCGTGCGTGGGTGGGTGGGTGGGTGGGTGGGTGGGTGCGTGCGTGCGTGCGTGCGTGCGTGCGTGCGTGCGTGCGTGGGTGCGTGGGTGGGTGGGTGGGTGGGTGGGTGGGTGTGTGTGCGTGTGTGTGTGTGTGTGTGTGTGTGTGTGTGTGGGTGTGTGTGCGTGTGCGTGCGTGTGTGCGTGTGTGCGTGTGTGCGTGTGCGTGTGCTTGTGTGTGTGTGTGTCTTGGGTTCGTGTGTGGGGCCTTTGCCTGTGATGTTTGTCGAACCCGAGTGTTAAACCGATATTCGATGGATTCCTGTGTGCATTGAATGCTGCTGGTGCACGAGTCTTGCACAGAGTCTGAACGGTCTACCCTCGAAAATGCCCCTGTTGATGGCAGGGCGGCAGGGAGGTTGCACTTGTCTGAAGCTTTTTTGTGCCGCTGGCTGCATGAGCCGGGCATGAAGTTGGTGTCGTGCATGAAGCTGCCGAAGGCTTGCCAGCGTAACTTCCGTCTGAACGGGCTTCATGCACAGGCTCTTCGGGATGGATGGGACTTGGGACGAGTCGAGACTGTAGGTGGCCTTCTTAGGATGCACTCTCGGGTGACAGGGCATGTCGTCTTTGACTGCCGCGGATTGTCTGCCTTGTAAGCAGCTCTGTGGGAGGTCTGTTCCGGCACTGAGCAGTCCCAGACCACACAGAATATGCCGGATGCTTACCGCCCTTCGAACAACTGGCCGAAAACTTTGCTGCTGATGTTGCAGTTGCTGCTGGGCTTGGATTCACCACCGCGCAACTGTCGTGTAAGCTGAGTCCCATTTATTCTCCCGAATGAGGATCCACCTGGCGGATTGCTGGGAGTTTCTCCGAGATGCTGCGGAAGCCAAAGATGCTTTCGACATCGCCTGGATGCTCAGTAGTGGCGGTTTAGGGGGAAGGGTTTTGGGTCTCGGGTTGAAACTGTCTCAGCGACCTGTAATCTTCAGGTATCTTTACGGTGGAATGAAGCATCGAGTGTTGTGGTGAATTTGAGCCTGACCGGCTTGAAATGGCGACCTGCGCCCTTGAAAATGTCGGTCGAATCTGCTAAGGCTTGGCCGCCAGAACATCTGCAGTACCCGACAACACTGCCAACAGCATCTGGTCTGGTATACACCACTATTCAGAGAAACAGAACAGACACTCGATGGCAAAATGTGCTGCAACTCATATCTTTGAGGTCGTGTGCGATCCTCCGTCCATGGCCCCGCGAGCCAGCGCGAAGCCAAAGGCTCGAATACTTGGCCCAAGAAGCAGTGGCTGATAAGCTCATGTTTATACACACAGAACAGATTGGCAAATAATCACCACAGCAGAATAGAAGTATGTCCCGTAGCACTCTGGCGACATTCATCGTAGTGCCGGGGGATCTTATACTGGCACCATCATAAATTGTAGTTTTGTCGTTGGTCATGTGTTGCTAGCTGCAGCCCATGTCAGCACTTAAGCTTGTTTCAGTTCAGGGCATCCGTTGGATGTGCGTCGGCTGTTCGGATCGTTGCAAGTAGGTCCCCCACCGACTCGCTCCGGGGAATCGAGCTTGTCAAAGGCAGCAGTTCATTGCACTTTGATAGCAAGACGTTCTCCGCTGCCTTAGTTCCTTTTCGTGGTTACATTTTGGAATCCTTAATATATGATTGGTTAAACCAAAAAAAGGAACTACAATGGAGACTATAGGTACTGCACCCAAAGATTTTGGTAAACCCATCCTCAATGCTGCAGCCAGGCCCTGAAGGCCTACGGCTCGCTGAATCAGGGCGCTTTGAAAGTCTTGCGGCCGGGCCGGCTGCTCGGAAAACTGATGACGGCCCTTGGGTCAGAAGACGAGCGTGACATTTTTTGGGTTGGGCAAGTGGAGTGCGGGCTCGCGTCTGTTCCCCCTTTTTGCGTTGAATGACATGCGTGTTGTTTTTGTGTCCGGAGTGACAGTCTGAGTGCTCTCTCCATGCGTGTGGTTTGTTCCAGCATTCGGACATGACTCTAGAACAACACAATGGATTGAACTGGCAGCGTAATCGCAGTGTATCGTTGCCTGAGGTACGAATTCAAATTCAGAGGAGTCTAGAAAGCAAATCGGCCTGAGGTGCTCCATCCGGCTACGCGGTAGATCGCAGGGGATGTAGGATGTAGACAGGAGCTCTTGCCGTCAGTCTCAGCTTTACCCAGGTGGCCGGCTGATTAGCTGCTCTTGCAGCGGGGGGCCGAGACCGAAGATTTCGGGCTTTTCCGTCGGAGTGCCAATAGGATCGCTATGTCCATCTGCTGCGGTTCTGGGTTGTGACAGGCTATAGAGTTAGAAGCTTGCGACTGAACATGTCGGAGGGACATCTTGTTCCCATTCGTTCTGATCTTGAGCCGTGACACACCGAGGTTCCCACATCACGCGTAAGGATCTGCTGAACACCGTTGAGGCCAGCGGCAATCTTCGCTTTACAGCATACCTAACCAGAAGCCGCTTCTTCGTGCCAGGGAAGTGATCCAGCCGTAGCCCTCAGTTATCTGACCTGACATATATACATCTCTGAGAGTCGTCACAGACTATCATGGAGCAGGCCAGCTTTTGCAAGCCTTTGTCAGGAGGCCGCACAGCTCTTGGGTCGTGCCGTGGTCCTGGAGGCACATGCAGTGCGAAACTTCAGGAGCAGTGCACGTCCGCAGGAGCTCAACCCGAATATCCCTCACGTGATTTGATACGTGAGACCTGAAAGCCTTCCACCTTGCCGACATGAACGCAGCACACACACACTCACACACAATTTAAGGGCTGGCGATTCAGAAGGCTCATCATTGAGGGCCTTGGGCCTTGGGTGTATAGGTCATCTCAACTCTGACCCTGACTTAGGAAGAGGGCTCGGCCGGGGCAGACCATCCGACTCGGCGTGGCTTCCGCGAGGGCGAGTATTTGCAGGAGCGGCTTCAACTTTTAGCTGAGGAAGTGGTGGTCGAAGCCGTGCTATTGGTGTGCCCTGACATCACGTGTTGTTTGCAGTTTACAGGCGAGGCACGCTGCACTGGCAGTGGGAAGTCCAAGCTTGCAACTGCGCTCACGTGTGCATGGAAGGTCCTCCACTTCATCGTTCAGTGACGACGACAATGATGGCCTGGGTTAATATCTGAGAACGGCAAAAAAAAACGCTTGCCTCGCTCCTCCGTGGTTGGCAGCAAGCGCCAGCTGAGTTTTTATCACTGAATCGCTGTTGTTTCTGTCGAAGCAGCTTCGGAACATCACTAGCCACTAAGCCGTCACCTGCCCCTCATGGCTCACTCGGAAGGAAGGATGGCATGTACCGTGTGACATGTGACAGGCTTATTTGCCTCCTCGCACACGCCTCTGTCGGAGCCTCATCCTGCAAGGGTGATCCGACGACCACGCGTCCCCTCGAAGCAAGACCTCAGATCCCACGAACTCGACCCGACCCGAAGACACGGAGCATGTAGACCCACAGCTCCAAGGCTATCACTTCATCCGCGGATGCTGCAAATGGGAGCACAACTGTAGGAGGCGTGCTGGAGTGGACGGATCAGACAGCAATGTAGTGGCTTGACGGTCTTGTTAGATGGTGGTCGGTCTGTAGCAGCTGGCTCGGTCAGTGTGGAGACTTGTTCCTTCTAACTCGACAGGCATCATCCGTGCGAGAGGCTGGACTTATTGCATGCTGGTGGCGCGATGCAGCAATTACGTAGAGACTTTTTCAGAGCTTAGATCTTGTAGGGTCACGACATTGGCAGCTGCAGCAGCACATTACACAGCTTGAAGCCTGCCTTGGGGATATGGCAGATTCCTGTGGCTGTGTCCCTGTCTTCATGTTGTTTCAGATGCAATCAGTTAGCATTTTGGGGATGCTGCTAGCCACATTTTATCAGATGCTTCGGATCGTCCATGATGCGTGTTGCGCTTCTGCGGAGGCAGCTGGCAGAGATTTCTCGACTCTTGAGGCCGAAGTGCCGCTTGCTGTTGTAATGCAGTAATTTATGACTATTTTTCTCATGATATACTATAGAATAATAAAAATTTACTTCCCATAATATTATATTAGCATATCAGCATAATTTGTGCATGTCGGCCAAGAGGATTGGCGTTTCGGTGGCCGTAGGGCGATGGATCGCAGTCGATGTGTTCGTTTCCTTGCCCTAGCTACACTTTCCTGCAAAGAGCGGCTGCAGTAGAGTCAGTAGAGTACTTGTGGCAGCAGAACAGGGGAAACACTTGGCTCTTGCGAACACATGGACAAAAGTGGCACATGTTGTTCATCGCATTGCTTGCAGGATGGTCCAGTGCCGCTGGGGCTCGCGGTGCAGGATGAAGAACTGCGTGTGAACCCCAGCAGTTTGGGTTGGCTTGTGAGTGCAAGCATGAACGGCGATGTGGCTAAGTAGTTGAGCAGCTGTACCACCTGCCCGTTTGAACGCATGCTGGCTAGGGTCGTACTTTCACTGCATTTGGCTCTTTTTCTAGAGAAGTCGAGACACGTGTTCAACGGGTACCTTGCTGGCCGTTGATGGCTTTTCGTGGTACATGAAGCGAACTCCGCAATCGACAGGTCTTCAAGCACGAGGAGCCCGAATGGCAACGGGCAGAGGCGGTGCCGGAATGTTGGGCACGGAGGTATACCCCATCCCGTCGCACACAGCCAGGAAACCCTTAAAGTTCCTCAGATTTGACTACACTCTGACCTTTAAACCCAAACTGGCAGAGGGCAGGTTATACTTGACTGCCAAACGGCTAGAGGAGTTCCTGTCTCGCATGGGTGCAGCTTATCGTTTCGGTTCTGTATTGCCTGTCAGGATCCAGAAGGCCAAGAACAGCCGCGTCCGACGCTGAGTCGAGAATCCGGTAGAACCTGCCCAGTTTCGAAGGTGAAATTTGAACCGCGCATCAATGTCACATGCCACTGGAAATCGACTCGAGGATGATGCTGCTTTGCTGTTGCAGATTGTAGTTCTATGGCACTCGGCCCAAACCCCTTTAACCTCCGAGCCTGAGAAGCCGAGCCTACTCCGGGGCCCTGGGGGGTTCTCGGTTCAGAGCTGCTTGCTGATCCGTAGTGTTCTGATGCAGAAGCTTATGCTGGCTTTCGAGGGGTTTGTCAACTGTATACCTGAAGACAAGGAGCACCCCATAACTCAGAGACGCAAGGCGCAGAAAGCGACGAGAGCTCGGCAGAGAGCATCGCCTGGGCCAGCAGCCGTGAAGGCACGGTAGATGGGATTGACCTTGGCCGGAGAGACACAGCACAGTCTTGCAAAGCAAGCACCGGGATGACTCTGGGCACGGAACCATACACGCGCGAGACGAACGTTGTGCGTCGGCACTGCCTGGGTTGTGTCACCTGCAAGCGCAGCACAGCGAGCTCGCCAGGCCCAAGCTAAACTATACGCAACCCTTGGACAACAGGTTCTACAAGCGCCAGCACCACCGAGGACGAGAGCAGTGAGGGGCCTCAGTGCCGGGGTTCAGGGAGAAGACCAGAGATCCGTGAAGATAACATGATAGTGCTCGTATCTCTTTTTGCCGAGCTGCCTAGCTCTCAAAATCCCCCAGTTCTTGCCAGAACAAGCATTGATTGCCACAGTACGCACATGGCATTACGCGACTGACTGTACCATCAGGTGCTTCTGATGACGAGGACGTCTCACGCTCGAGGCCGTCCTGGTTTGCTTGTTCCGTTCAGCAGTCGTGCTCAGGGCTGTGCAATCATGCCTAGCGTGCGCATCAACTCACTTCTACAAGTGTTCCGCTGGGAGGCTGTAGACTCTCTAAAACCAGTAGACCCCCAAACACCCCAGAGTAAAGCCAAAACCCCTAGAGATTTAAACGCTGGAGCCCAGAGCCCCAAATCTCCATTGGCGCAGGCAACAGTTTTTGCAGAGCAAGGCGAATCCTGCGCCGCCCTTGGCCTGTTGGGATCATCCTCCTCAGAGGAGTTGTCCCTGAACTGGAATTGCAGGGAATCCCTGAGCAGTCGCCAAAGCACCCGAATCGAAGTTTAGGCTTAAAGTTTAGCGGGTTAGTCCCTGTGAGGTGTTGATCTTCCAGGATGCCGGCATTTGTATCATCAGCAAGCCTGCCGGTGCCTTCCTTAGCCTTTGGCGGAGGAGATGATCTTAAATCTACAGGTTCAATGTGGTGCTCATCGAGTTCTGTGAATATTGCCAGTCACATGGTTTGCTACATATACACTATTTCATCTTGATTGCTGTGATGTGAGACCTTTAAAGCCGTAGACTTGCCAAGCAACGCAGGCTGGTCTGCCGATCACTGCCCAGTGTCGCGGGCAGCTCGTCCTCAGGGGGTTTTATGTCAGGATTCTGACAAGCAGACGCTGTGGATCCCTTCATTTCAACGCTGGGTAACCCCAGACCCTAAACCATCTTAAACCCTGAACCCCAAACCCTAAATCCTAAACCCTATAAATCCTAAACCCAAAACGCTTCGGATTTGAGCTACCGGCCGGCATCACCCGACTTCGCGCTGTTATCGAACATCCAGGAAACATCATCCTTGAAGGATCGCCCAGATCGCTCCATCCTACAGTTTTCAGGGCCTTTTAAATTTGAGCCTAACACGTGTAGGGTGGATTCTTGCAAATCAGGGGAAGGTCCTGTTGTTTTGTGTCTAGCTGAGGGCCCCTGTTTTTTTTGAATCTCCGCAAAGCAAGTTTGGCATCAGGGCCCAGATGGCCGTCCGCTGAGTCTCAAGGCATGGCGCCAAGCTGGGGAGTAGTGCCCAGAAGTGGGGTCGGTAAGGAGCTACGCTGGGGAGAATAGGGGCGAATAGGAGGATCACAGTAATCATATATCGAGATTCTATTCTGGCGCGTGGAGGGTCATGGCTACATGAGCAGCAGTTCATAGACGAGACTTTGGGTTTGTACAGGACCTGCAAAGGCAGATCCACAGCCTTGTGGAGCTATCCCGACCCACAGTGCGTTTCTGCATGCTAGCACGCTTCGCTTGCCAATCCACGGTGTAGAGATGCCCACTCATTCAGGGACATGATCTGTTTTGCTACGATATCTGCGTCAGCCAGGGGGCATCAAGTCTCACGGTTCGTTCCGCAGCTCGGAATCGGAGGAGCGACAAAGCCAAGCCTTGCACTAGTCAGCTTGGAGTTTGAAGAGCTGTCGTGCCAGGCGCTGCACAGCAGCGGTAGCCGCAGCCTCAGCTGCTTGTGACAACTGGCCAACAACCTGTGCCGGCAGACAGGAAGGTAGCATGTCCATCCAGGGCAAGTCAGGCAACATCTATGATGCATGTGTCCTGCATTTTGGTGTAAAGTCAACGGGAGACCTCCGCCTGAACTTGAAATCCTATCCGGAGCCCTGGGCCGGGCGCATGATGAGCCCAAGCGCCCTTTATGTAAGAATTGACATCCTGGAGTCCTTGAGCGTTGCAGCACAGCAGAAGCGCAGTTCATGTCAGGGTCTACCATAAGTCCGCGTAGGTAAGCCTACATCACTGTAGAACCTAGATTTGTCCTTATGGTAGATTTTCGTATATTCTCGCCTGTCGCAAGAAGCCGCCGAAAGGCATCGAGCCACTCTCGCGGCACCCCGCATCGCCCGTGCTGCTGGCGCGAAGTTTCTTTCGGATATGCCATGGCTTCGAGGATGAGCCATGCTGGCTCATTGCTCCGATCTTCGGAGTGAGGATGGTGACCGGTTCCTCTGACCAAAAAAAGGGGCCTAAATAACTATCAATGCTATTTTGGGGGGTTCCTTCCTACTGGTAGTATAATGGGCTTAAAACCCTATTGTTCTACCCCTATATTGGAGGCATGTGACATGTGTCTGAGCCTAGTCTGCCAGGTTGGCTCGTGGAGGCCTTTTCTTGCTCCAGGCACTGCATCGGTTCTGTGATTTTCAAGCGCATGCCAGTGACCGGCAGCGAAGCAGAAACCCTGACGCAACGCGAAGCACAACAACAAGAAGACTTAAGAAGCTCATTTTCCGTTCCTTCAGACAGACTTGCTGCAAAGCGCTGCTGCTGCGCCCAGGGCGTGCTTTGCGTATCAGGTTTGCCGCAGATGCCACAAGCACACCTGACCAGGTCCTACCGTTTCTGGCCTAGCGCTGATGACGCAGACGGAGGCCGCCCCAAGGCAGGGATGCAAACGTCTGGACGGTTACTGCATACTGTAGGCTGTATATAAACCGTAAAGTCCAGAATCTGGAATTCATGATGTCTAGCAGGCTTTTGGTTTTGAGCAAGCCTGTTTGCCAGTGGAAGCAAAGTCTTGTGTGAATTGAAAAGATGTTGAGCTGCTTCAGCAACATCTGAAGGAGCGCTCTATATCTGGTACATGATAGATTAAGACATGGAGCTAGCCAAGCACATGCAGCTTGAGTAAACAAAAACCTTGAGAGGCGGCGATTGGCCCGTGCATTCCGCACGGGGCGTATGGCTCTCAGTCTGTAGAAGACACTCAGGTTTCGGATTCTGAGCTGGAGTGCCGCCTCTGACTGTACTGGCATGTTCGAGTTGGTGGAGCGCTCAGTACGTATGTTCCGCCTCGCCCAGCCAGCAGGGTGGTCGTGTTTGGAAAGAGTTCCAGGCTTTGAACTACAACAAAGTAAAGCAGCCGCCACCGGCATCCTCCCACCACACCACCATAAGGCACCATCAGCACCACCCGCAGCACCACCACCAACACCACCACCATCCTCATCGACATCAGCATCAGCACCAGGACCCTGGTCAGCATGGTCGCTCTGGCCATCGTCACCATCATCAATACCACCATAGCATGCTACAATACGGGTAATTACTACAAAGGATACGACTGGTATCATTTAAGATCATGACATTCATGAAACTACTGCTACTGTTGCCCACCAGGATAAAAGCACTCCCTGGACCCTAAATCCTACACATCCCCGCTGAGAATGTGCTTTCGCCACGACAGTTTCCCCACTATACCCGCTGGCTGTACACCCTAAGCCTCCCTGCCCTGATCCGTCCCACGTATATAAATAAAGCGGTCCCAAGGCTTGGCGTCCTACTCGCTGGCACTGGTCGAGGGCAAGCTCGATCCACAGCGCCCGTCTCGGAGTCAAACGTGCTCTGGTACAGAGAGTGTATAAGGGATGAGGTCTTAGAAGTGGAGGGAAAAGGTTGGAAAGGACCCTTGCCCAACAAATCGGAGAACTAACTATACCTACTATACCCTCAAAATCAGAACACCTCTGAAGCTCGCCTAATGTAGAGTCAACCTTAGCCCCCAGCCTTGCAAAGCACCCAGGCGCAGCTCAGCTGCGGCAAGGTGCGAAAGCGGCCTCATGGAGGTTCGGGGGAGTCGGCGATGAGAAGAGAAAGGGCAGTGATTGGCAGGGAGGCTGATTATCAGGATGTGGGGTTTAGGAAAGGACCGGAACACCACAGTAGAGAGTGTGGACTGCAAACCACCGCCAGAACCGCAAGATGAAATATCATGCCGGAACATGAGTGATCGCAATGCACTTGGAATAGCAATGTTGCACGAAATGCCGTTCATTAGTGAGTAGTGACTTGTAATCAGTGGCTGGTAACAGTGATGGCAGCAGCAGTTGCACTGCTGCAGTCTGAGTAGCGAGAGCGATTGAAGCAACGGAGGTGGTGTAAGAACGACAACCAGAGCGCAGAACGGCAGGGTGCCAGTTGTTGTTTCTGAGGTTGCTAAGAGCCCATACATCTATTGGCAGTTCTTGACGGCATTACTATGAGTGCCATGTCATTATTACTGTTTATGTTTCATCTATGTAGTATATGGTTGTGTTTGTCTTATGGTGAGTTGTTAGTGTTCTAAAGCATATTATTGCAAAAATCCTCATTATTGTTGTCAGCAGTACTAGTGCTACTGCCTGTGCTATTGTGTTCTTCCAGTTGTTATTGCTACTGAGGTTGGCTGTCGTTTTTCGTTCTTACCGCTATGACTTTGTTTCTATATAAGGTTGCACATTGTTGCCGCAGTGATTGCCAGTGTGATTATGGTTACGACTATTGAGATGTTATTGAGCCTGCTCCCAAACGCTGAACATAGCACCTGTCAACCCAAACCCGAATTTCAGACCCGCAGACCCGAAAACCCGAAACCTGAAACTCAGACCCTACACCCTAAACCCAGAACCTTAAATCCCAAACCCGAATACCCCAAACCCCAAATCTCAGTCCCCAAAACCGTAAACCCTAAACCCAGAACCTTAAATCCCAAACCTCTACACCCGAAACCCTGAGCCCAAAGACTTGGCCACAGGTCTTGGCCTTAGCGGGGCTGGAGCGACGCTGCAGCGAGACCTGGGGCAGTGAGGCGTCAAAGGGAGTTTCGGCGTTGGGTTCAGGCCTGGAGTCTTTAGGAATAAAAGTGATAATAAGAATACTCATACTGCTATTTAATAATAGTAATAATGAAACGAGCATTAATAACAGTTCAAGTGTTGTTACAACAGCGGAAGTATTTGATAGCGAGAATAGCAATATTCCCGCCACGAATAGAATACAAAGATTAGCAGTATTGACTGCTGCGTGTACCTGGGTAGGCTGAGCTTGCATAGTGGGGAGCTTGGCTTTTAATGGTGTCGCTGCTTCGCGCCCTGTTTCGTGCCAAGGTGATCGTTTCAGTGTGGCAACATGACTGTGGACTTTAGATGGTGTACTAACATTGCTAGTGCTACTATAGTGGATGTTCTGGTTTCGAACCATACCGCCATGGTTGCTTTACTCCTGTTTCTTCAGGCCAGCTGCGAGCACTTCACACTCCTGCTCGTCAAGGCGCCTTTGCGAGCATGGTGAGTAATAAAGAGAATGGAGTATGTTATGCAGCAGCAAGTACTGAGACTAGTGATATCTGTTGATCTACTGAATAAACAACTGTAACAGTACTAAGATTAGTAATAAGAAGATTAAGAACGCAATGACAGTAACATCTGTAGTCATAGTGTCAATGATAGCAGCAGCAAGTGATCGTGGTACGGAAGTGGTGGTAGTGGTGCTGGTGGTGGTGGATGTGGCACTACTACTACTGCTGCTGCTGCTACTACTACTACTACTACTACTACTATTACGACTACTACGACTACTACTACTACTACTACTACTCCTCCTACTCCTGCTCCTGCTCCTACTCCTACTACGCAAGAGTGGTGGTACGACTAGGATCATCATAGTGACAAAACATTGGAGAAAGTGTAATACCCATAACCATTGCTTAGAATGATATGGTCAAGAAGAAAGCAGCAAGTAACATTCACGCTCCCAGCCTCGAACACCATGACCTTTCAAGTTTCTGCTCCAGGTGATTCGAAAAGTGTAGGAGCTGTCGAGGGAATAGCCAACATAGCAGATTTAATACAAAGCATAGGGTTTCGAGATATATGATAGATTTAGCATTAGGGAGAATTAGAATAAGGTGCAACTCACACACCTCTGAGTTTAGTTCTCAAGCTGCTACTTTGCAGGCGACTTTGTAACAGTTTATGGTTGTCATCATTGTGCACGACCTGAACGGGCAGGTCCTTTTCAGGGAGGATGTGTCCTTGCCCTTGCCCACTGCAGCAGATCTCTTACAAAGGCTGAACTGCAGTAGCCTTGACCAGCTTCTGCTGGGGGGCCGCTCAATCACAGGCGAGATCCAGCCAAAAGAGGGAGATGAAGAGGTCACACTTACGTTGGTTCGAGTTCGTTGCAACCTTCTTGAAGGTCTCGCAGAAGACCTGATCGGAAGCCTCACCTGTGCCCATGCTCTCGAGCTTCCCCCTGGCTACCTGAAGCAAGAGGACTGCCTCTCCCTTGTCAGGTCCGAGACCGTCCGCAACTCTGGATGGTACTTTTGGGAGCACAAGGTCTTGTCGCATGTGCTACTCCTCCAAGATGGCACCATCTTCACGAAGCAAAGCTCTAGTATTGTGAACGCGAAGCGGGGGGAGCAGACTCATTGTCACGCGATTGTAGAAGGCCGGTTCGAGCCAGTTCTGACAACACCCGGTGTGGTCCTTGTGACCTGGACCGGTGCAGCGGAAATCGAGGTTAAAGCGCCCTGGAGCCGACTTCACGAGAAAGCTTCAGATTTTGGGAAAGCGACCTGGGAGTCCAGGAGTTGTTTGGATGTTGTGCCGACAGCACTTCAGACGGAGACGGGTCACTTGGACCTGCAGCAGCTTTGCTACAAGTGGCCTCAGTCCCAGCAGGCCCACACCAGCCTTGTCATGCCGTGCCTCTCGGAAAAAGTTCTTTCAGATCTGGGCATGAAGCCTACCAACTTATGGTTCTGGTGCCCGCAGGCAGAGGCAACATGATCACGACCGTGCTCGTCGAACACAAGAGATTCAATAGCGTGGCTGCTGGAGCTTCTCCCGACGCTTGCGAGGGGGTGCTGTCCAGCTGCCGTTTCTGTGTCCATGTCGACGTTGATGCAGCACAGGTACGAAACGCTGCCTGGCAGCTAGGAAGGAAAATGGCAGAACAGAGTGCGCCGAAAATTGCCATCACGCAGAGCAGGTCTCGATGAGACATCGTCGCCTCAATCCAGACTTGCAGCGACATGCCACGAAGCTGCGAGGGAAACATCCGTTCAGGGGACCACCTAGCCTTTTGCACTTTGTAAGCCGTCAGCTCTTGTCAGCACTTAGCCGTGGCCCACTGTTGAGACCGTCAATCTGCGTGAACCCTTAAGCCTGCACACCCTAAGTCTGATTTATAGTATTAATAATGACACCAAAACCCTGTTGTAATTATTAAGGCCCCCATACTAGCCCACCCGAGACCTTAACTTACAGACGCCAGCCTCTTGCTGGAGCCTCCTTTATTGGCATGTTTGTGCATGATGTTGATTTCATTCCTTCGTGGTACACATATCTCATACATATAGACAAAGACACACAGAGACATATATGTATGTATATCCACACATGCATACACATACACATGCAGATGGCTCTAAGGTTAGATAGAGATCTCGAATATCGTCGTGGTGAGGTTAACTTGCACAGGCCATGGTGGGATAGACTTGCACGAGCTTTTGCAACTTCTGCAGATCACGCCCACCAAGGACAAAGACAACACAAGCCCTGAGAACCCAGCACTCAAAACCAGAATCAAGCCAGCGCTCCCAACCCGAGCCCTGAAAAGCCCCGATCAGGCTGCTGGCTCGGCGCTCGGGGGTGAGTCCAGCTCTCGGTCTCAGTACTGTATCGGGTTTCGAAAGGGGGTTGATTATTGTGAGCATTTCCGTGGTCATTACCGTGTGTTTGTGCTTGTTCTCTTCTCTACCCATTCATTGTCTGTGTTTTTGAGCACTCGACTTTGAGCTGGACCTACAAAGATCTGCCGAAGTTTACTGAAGCAAAGTGTCGGGCTGTCCTGATGCGCACTACCCATGCTGTAGAAGTATCCCGTGCTTTCGTAAAATGCCGTAGATGAGGGTCATTGCAGCGACCCTCGCACGTCATTGCAGTCACCCTCGCACCTGTTCTGGTGTGCAAGCTCGTTTGCGTTATTCTGCCCCTGTGCATACATCGAGACGATGCTTAATTAGTAGTGCTTGCACATGCTTGTCATGTTTACCATTGTTGCATATTGTAATTGACATGCTTGATCATGACCATGGTGTCGTTGTTGATGCTAATGATGATCATGATGGTGATGTGGAGGACTCCCACAGGGGCCAGAGCATCATGGTCTGCCGTATACAGCAGCAGTGTCAACGCGAAGGCAGGGCCACACAGGCCCCGACTGCCTAGAGAATCGACTGTGCCTTGTCGCCGCATAGAACAAGCAAACGGCCACAGCTTGATGGCATGCGACTTTGCTGGAGAGTAGCAGAGTAGTGGCAGTCACCTTCAGCAGAAATCCCACGATTGATGTAGACGGCCTGAAGTCACAACGGAGGAGAAATTCATCCTCATCGTTGTTTCAGTTTTGATCACAAAACTACAAAACTCCGCAGTATTCACGGCCCCTTTCGCAACTGCTCTACATACAACCACAAACCATCTTTTCTCCAAGGAGAGGTTTGCTGCCGATGGCGTGGGGTCGTGCTGCACTGGGGGACAGCAACGGACCCACAGAGGGCAGGACGGCTCCGCTAATTTAGGGATCGAAGAACTAGTGACAGCATGCCCTTTTCGCCCATATATAAGTAAACTAAAATATACCTAAAGCCCACAGCCCTGTTCTAACGATTACAGCCACTATGACACGGGCGCTGGTGATCCGCAGTTTCCATTTACGATGCTGAGAGGAGTCGAGACTAGAAAGTGTGAGGATCCCTAAACCACAAGGTTTCTTCGAGTGATACTTAAACAGTTTCTCTAGGGATTTCTGCAAGGGTTCCGCTAAAGTTCACAGAAGCCGAATCTCCCAAAGTCACACATTTGCAAACCTTCAGCCGTACATGAAGGCCATGAGCCGCCTTGACACCCCAGGGAACCCTAAAACCACAAAAAGGGGCGACAGCTTTATCGGTAATGTAAGACTTTATGGACCCTTGTAGGCCCTTGTAGACCCCTTGGAAGGAACCCTTCAAGGAACCCAACTTAAAGGAACCCTTAAATCCTAAAACCCTAAACCTTAAACCCCATAGGAACCCTGAGAAGGACGGAGCAGTGGTTTGGTGGCCGTCCCTTCTTCCACGGCTTGGCCACGGCTCTCTCGGACCCCTGGTGGTGGCTTGGGCCGGCTTTCAGGTTTTAAGGCTCGTGTTTGGGGTTTCAGGGTTTAGGGCTTACAGCCTAGGCTTGCTTGGGTTTGAGGTAGAGGTTCTGGGTTTAGACTTTTAGGTATGGCTTGGGTGGCTGGAATGTTTTCCGTAGTAGCAGTGGTACCAATCCTTGTGATGATTACAGCTGAGTTTGCAACTGCCGAGTTGCTTTCATGATGATGGTTGTGATGAGAGTGCCTGCGTCAGTTGGCTGCATCCGGCCTGAGGCACACGTGCCGATGGGCACAGCAAACAGGATGTCATAGCTCAGGCTCAATATCAGGCATAGGAACAAACACAACCAAGCTGTGAGATTCGTCGTCGACCTTTTCGCACGTAAGCCGGGGATTACGCCACAAACCCTTCAGACCCGGCAAAGCATCGGGAAAGACGTGACAATGCCTCATAATTATTCGCGCTTTCGTAAGATTGGTTCTGCAGATGCACCTGCGCAGCTGGGGCATGTGTGGGAGGACTGAATGCACATCAAAGCACTTCGCAGCACAGCAGGTGGGCAGACACTACCTATCCAGCGGTCATGGCCCGGAAGCCTGGTCAAAGTCTGCGGGTGGGTCGGGCGGGAGGCGTCCATGCGAGGGCAGGTGGAGCCAGATCTGTCGTGCAGGTGAAGTCCTCTGACATCTGGCTACCATGGGGGTCTAAATAATTGCCAATACTAGTTTGGTGGTTCCTCATTATAATATAGATATACGATCGGCCCCAAAGCCATATTCTAATTATTAAGGCCCCGATAGTCGCTACCAGTAGTGGGCAGGTCCTTCTGTCAACTCTAAAGGCTACTCGTTGAGCAAGCTCGCAGGGTCATGTTCGGGTATAAGGCCAGTACCTATATAGTAGAAGTGGAAGCCAGAAAGTTGGAACATGGAATTAGGAGGATTAGTGCTAGGATCCCTTATGCTTTAGCTTAAGGCCATGGGGATAATGATGTTCCAACTTTCTGGCTTCTACTGTAGGCTCCATAGTAGTTCCTTTTGGGGATTTCGATGGAGCCTATAGGTAGCAAAAAAACACGGCTGTTGGCCAATACTCGGCCTGATCACTCAGAGTCTCGTCTGCCAGGAATCAAGAGGTTTCCAACAAACTTCATCTCGTTCAGTGTGCGCAGGATCCATCCGTCAGCAAGGAAGATTGAAGATTATCACTAGTGCAGGAAGATATCAAGTTGGAAGCTGCAGCTGAGGTGTACCCGCTTCCTGATGATTTGCGAAATGCGCTGTCGCAGCTTGAGGCGCACAGCACTGTCGAGTTTTCTGTCATCGAATATCGTTTCCAGGTGTGCGTGGTCCGAGCTCAGGTTTACTGGAATTTACGTAATGACAAGAACCGCAGGGTGAAAGAATTCTTTGGCTTGTCCCTTACTCAGGTCTCCAGCGGCAGCTCGCTTACGGAAGCAGGCGTCACCGATGCGCGGGGCAAGTTTTTTGTGGCGACAATGGAGGATGGTGATGATAACACTGACGCTGACAAAATTTGCAGTGACGGCGATGCTAGTTCATGCGGGTCTGTTGGCCCATGAATTCTGGAAGACTGGAGCTGAGCCAGCCGTAGCAACAGAGCCGGCTTCGGTCAGATACAGTTTCCAACATTCCCATCACTCCCCGACAAGAAACACACAAAGTTTCTGGTCGTTAGCTTGCAGGGCCTTTGTGCACAAGCTCGAACGCGGAGGCGCGTGCAGCTCGCCTTTAGCTTGCTGTGGGCTCCGATTTCCAGCAAAACAAGACTTCTGGAGATTGTGCCCCTTCTTAGTCTTGGTGTTTGCTCACTAGTTTGCAGAGCCTTGACAATCTCATGGCTGGAGGAGCGCCTTCATCCCGCGATGAGCTTCGTGTCCATCGGCAGCGCGGTGCAGAAGGCAGCTTTACCGAAAGCTCTCGCACATGTCAAATCTCGTCATCTCTATGCCACTATGCTGTCATGGGGTTGCCGCTTTAATATGTGTGCGTCTGAAGATGACAGCGCAGATCTCACATGAGCCGTTGAAATTTTTGAACATCCCGCGAGAGATCTGCACGGAGGCTTCGGAGAGTCAGAGAGGTCGCTTCCCTGTGGGGGTGTGGCTACAGATGGTTGGTGCCGCAGTGTCCAGGCCTTGATGAAAAAGGGCCTCCTCCCGGCAGAGCTAACTGCTGCACTGGGTGTGGCGCTCAGATGCCCAAATGTTTGCAAGAATTCGGGGTGATGACTGTCGTAAGCCTCAGAGTACAGCCCGAATGCCAATCAAGGCCCACGCATGAGTCTGGAAGACGATATCCCGGCGTTAAACGAGCCCACACAAGAACTTCCATAAGTCCGACTTCGGAGAAGTGCCGTTTCTTGGCATCCTGATGTCTTGCCAGAGGGCAATAGCTATCACCGCTTAAGACGAAGCAGCTGGAGCCACTGCGGTAAGAAAGAGGCTGGAAGACACAATCCTGCTTTCGGATTGTGGCTTCCCGGACTATCACACAGGCGGGTTTACTGAATGCTGACGGTGAAGTAAGATTAGACGACAACATGTCCAATGCCTAATGTTGAGACACCGATCACAGAAAACCAGACCCGCCGAATCCTTCAAAGTTCCCGCTTTGGCACACTAACTTTGTCAAGCAGAAGCCCCAGACACCCAAAAAGTGCACCGGCACCGTTTGCGATCTGAGGAACTGCTGTTGGTCGTCGATGTCGGTATAGCATTGAGTCGTTGAAAGTATCAGAGAACAAGAGCACTGCAGCAAGTATAGACAGCAAGCCATCTACCTGCAGCCCTGAACCTTGGTCAGCCAGCCTTCCGGAGTTCAAGAAACGTGCAAACGAAGAGAGCCTCAACCTAGATCCCTTGAGCCTTGGACCATCAAACAAAGGCCCCAAGTCCCGAACTTGAGCTCTGAATCCCAAGGGTCTGAAGGGCAAAGCTGGATTAGAAGAGGTCCCAAAGCCAAGGTGTTCCTCCTGACTGCGGTGCCGTGGCTCCAGCCGTGGTTCCCGAGCCAAGCCCCTACGGCATGCCAAGGCGGTCTTGTCTCACTTGGGGGGGGATTCCAATTATACTTATAGTATAATGGGATCCAAGACCGTATTCTAGTTTTTGAGGGCATAAGGCCGATGTTGAGAAGGCTCAAGAATTTGGTAGCCTGTGTTGATGCTTTCGTCGGTGAGTCTGGTGCCGAGTAGTCCTGGGTTACTCCTAGCGGCGCTCTTCCATGCTGTTGGAAGAAGGTTCTTTTCAAGCGCCGGAAGGGAACACTTTGGAACAACCTTGGCGCAGGTTCGTCCGGGATCGCTGGAAAAACGATGTGCCGAAGGGGCGCTGGCTTAGCAGCTTCCTCCAGCAGGCCTTGTGGTATCACTGCCACTCTTTATCATTGCTGCTCGTATTTCCTGTTCATTTCCCGCATGTAGTAGCAGTATTAAATTATCGCCTTAGCTATTGTTGCTGCTGTTGTCGCTGACATGACTGTGTGAAAGTATCAGTGGTGGTAGCCAGTACTAGTCGTCGTCATGGTCCACCTAGCCCTTACCGTCGTCGAAGCAACAGCACTTGAAGTGGCTGTCGTAACGGCACCCTCGAAGCCATATCAGTGGCATTGGCAGATGTAGTGGTTGTGGTGGTGGTCTTCATTGTCATGCTAGTGTTTTAGTGTTCTAGTACGTTAGTGCAGGTCGTAGTCGTCGAGGTTGTCGTCGTGCTCATGCTCGGGCTTGTCGTCGTCGTTGTCGTCTTCGTCGTGGTCGTCGTCGTAGTTTAGAAGTAGCCGTCGTACAGTCGTAGCAATTATGATTATGATTATTATTATTATTAGTACTAGTAGTAGTAGTAGTAGTAGTAGTAGTAGTAGTAGTAGTAGTAGTAGTAGTAGTAGTAGTAGTAGTAGTAGTAGTAGTAGTAGCGGCAGAAGAAGAAGAAGAAGTAGTAGTAGTAGTAGTAGTAGTAGTAGCAGTAGTAGGGGCAGCGGTAGTAGCAGTAGAAGCAGTAATTAACGTATCTGCGCTGTATACTTACATATGCAAACTCATCCATCCATCATCCAGGCAGGCAGCCAGCCAGCCATCATTCCATCAATCAACTCATCCTTCCATCCATTGATTCATTATCTCATTCATTCATCCTTTCATCATGTATTCATTCGTTCGTCCATTCACTCATGGACTCTTCATTGATACATGCATATGTGCACAAACTCCCCAAATATATACAGAGGGATTTATGTAAGTATGCACATGTAAATATGCGTGTATGTACATATATATATATATATATATATGTATGTATGTATGTATATGTATGTATGTATGTATGCATGCAGACATGTACGTATGCATGCATGTATGTATGTATGTATGCATGTATGTATGTAAGCATTCATGTGTGTACGTATGTAGGCATGTATGCATGCATGTATGTACATCCATGATCATTCATGCATGTCTACTTCTGCAATGCAGTTTAATTGTCCAGATGAGAACTTGTAAGTTCCCGGTGGCACGCCGCAAGGCCCTCTCCGCGGCTGACACTTACGAGCTCAATGTGCTGGAAGGCCTTGCAAGCAAGTATCCAGATTGAGGTTGAGGAATCTGTTAGTATTTCATCCTCTCTGTGTCTCTCTCTCTCTCTCTCTCTCTTCCCCTCCCTCTGAATGAGAGGGGTGTCAGGACATGGGGAACATGAAGCCCATGGAGCTCGGGGTATTGGAGCCAGCATGGTGGCAGTCAACCCAATCGCTGCTCATCCCACACGAGGTCTGCCTCCGTGATCCTGCCAGACCAGCGCCTTGCACAGGTGGCTGGGTCTTCGTTCTCGACCTCTTTCGGCGCTTCCCACAGCTCCACGAGGTGCGCCGTAGTTTTGGAGCTGCGCTGCGGGAAAGCTGGCCTTGGTGTTCGGCAAGGGGTTTGGTTCAGTGGCAAACCGTGGCTTTAGTACAGACTCGTCGTCATCGTCATCTCTGCATTCTTGGCGACCCGCGTCGCACGATGCCGCTACAACGCCCTCAACAGCAATAAGGTGCTCCCGCGCTGCAATTCGACGCACCTGTTGCAGGCTTAGGCTTGAATTACCGAACAACTCATGAAAGCTGACATGGACAGCACCGAATGCCTGGCATGGAGGCAAGTTTCGGGACTGCCCATGCTCTCGTACGGCTGCTGGGGAAAGATCCGACAAGGCCGGCCCTTTGGATTGAAGACCTAAAGCCCAGAGCCATAATGTGGGGGGCCTGAATGATTTAGAATAGGGTTGGGGGGGTTTCCTTACCATAATTAGTGTTTCGTTTGCCCCCCAGACCCTATCCTAATTATTAAGGCCCCTACATGAGTCGTCTTAGCAAGGGGGTGCATTCGGAACGGTTGTGGTAGCATTGCAGTAAAAAACAATGTCACTTGCTGCTGTTCCAAGACACACACAGAGAGAGGCTTCTGCAGATTGAGATGAAGGAAAGGTTGCCCGCCCCAAACCCTCGACCAAGATGCCCCAACATTAACCCGAAGGGATTCCTGATAGTATCCTTTTGATACCCTTGCAGTGCACGTGTCGTACCAAGAGAGGAACCCCCTAAACCCTAAACCCCAAAACCCGAAACCCTACACCCCAAAACCAGGCCTTAAACCTGGAACCCGGAACCCTAAACCCCTAAACCCTAAACCCCTAAACCAGACCCTAAACCTGGAACCCAGAATTCTGAACCCTAAGCTTCTCGGCGTGCGACTGCAGGGCTCTCGAGGCCAAGCTCCGTCGAAGTCAGATCGTCATGAGGCCGGAGCGACCCAGAGAGCCCAACACTTGTATGGGAGTTCCCAAGAATTAGGGGTACCTCATTTTGGGGTCCTTATAATGAGGATCCTACTATTTAGTAACTATTTAGGGTATTACAGTAGAGTCCCCTATTTTGGGAAACTCCCATATCCCTTCATTAGGGAACATTCCTTACTTGAATTATGGCAGGATCCCCGATACGATTTAAGGAATATTCCTTGTATTATAATAGGATCCCTCACATGATTCGTGGTAGGATCCCTAATATGATTTAAGGATATTCCTTCATTAAGGGATATTGGAAACTCTGGGGAGACGCAAGGGCTCCTTTGCGGGATCCCTGGAGGGAGCTACGAGGGCTTCGGGGTTTATTTGAGGGGTTCCTTTGAGGGTTCTGGGATTCCTTGAAGGTATAACCTAAAGGAGCTATTAAGGGTTTTTGTTAAAGGGATCCTCGAACAAGGGTTCCTATAGGATCCTGTAAGGGTCCTATATACGAATGGATGGTATTACAAGGGCAGAAGAATGAGAACGCGTCTTTGGGTTGGAGCATCAGGGTTTCTGGTTTGGGCTTCGGGGTGTCGAGGTTTGTTGCATAATAATTCTGTGTTTGTGTGTGCAGGCATCAGATGAATCAGCTGCTGTTGCCAGCACACCTACAAGGTTGTTTGGATAACCCACGCTGCTGAAAGTCGGGGCTGGCCATGGACGCATAACCTTCAATGCCGCTAGTTCTCATCCATAGTGCTTTCCCCTGACGCAATGTTCAGTGCAACGCCAGATAATAGATTCACTTACACTATAGCTCTAGACCAGTTAAGAAATAGCAAGCCAGGCATGGTGCAATGTCATTTCTTGTCTTGTCACGTAATGCAATATCATCTCATATCGGGTCGGGCCGGTCAGGTCATGCTATGTCATCTTGAGTGCAATGCAACCTATAACGCAAGGTGTCAGATAGATGTAAGGGTGGTTGTCAAAATTATTATCCCTTTTTGGGGTACCCTAAATATTAAAACCGCATCATATCAAGGGCCCAAAAAGGGACCATAATATTGGCAACCACCCATAAACAAGAATATTATGACCTTCGAAAGTCGCATGAGCAGGCTCGTCGAGGCTCCCGAGCGCTTGCAGGCCTTTGTGGAGGCCCGGAGAGCAAGGAATTCTCGCCCTATGGGTGTCGTTTAGGGGTGGAGGTTTGGGTCAGTTCTTCGGGGATTCGTCAGGGCTCTGTTCGATGGCGGTAGTGCTTTCGTGACACTGCACGGCCGAAATATGCAGATATTAAGCTTGGCAACTGCTTCAGGCTGAGGATTGTAAAGCAGCATATAAGGTCAGAGCCACGCACGTAAGGGTTTGAAAGGCCAAAGTTCGTTGCCTGACTGCTCGTTTGCCTTGCATCCCTACCCACAGACTTCATATATCTCTATATGTATCTACCGAGGTATATGCATATATGATATATGATTACATACATGCAATGGCAACTACGATAGCACAGCCCGCAAATCCACTCTCCGCTCAGCTTTGCCAGGCTTACGCCTCGCGCTTTGCGCCGGAGTCCCACCTGCAGGTAGGGCTCAGATTCCGCATCCGGTCCACGGTGGTTGTGTCACGTCCGCTACCCTTCCGTATTGCTTTCGTCAATCCCAACGCTGTCGGTTCTGTTATGCAGCGCTTGCCCAGCTAAGCTTGATTTCATACAGAAAGTCAGAACAGGCCCCTGTCAGACTGACAGCTGACTTGTAGAAACATCAGATCAGCTCCCTTGTGCCTTGTGCACCTGCAGGTATCTGAGCTTTTGCAAAACCCGCATGCCGGCGGCTTACATCGGTTCCTGGCCTGGGGTCGACGCGAAAGGGTTTCTCCTAGAACCAGTGTCACCAATGTTCACAGAATCGTCAGCGCCACACCCAGTGTGCCTTTCAAAGCAGTTCGCGTTTTCGTTTTGCTTGCGCGGCATTTTGGCATCTTGGATTGCGCCATGAGTTGAGCTCTCAACCTTCTCGGTTTGCAGTGTTCTCACTGTTCTCACGACCGTGGTGGCAAGCGAGACGATGCTTCCGATGACCTACATACTCTACGTTACGTGACGGCGAGGTCGATACCCACATGCACGTTTAGACATGGTTGCATGTGTATGTATGCATATCGCGACATAGATTATTTCTGTCTTCATGTTTATTCGTAGGACATACACCTATGAACGCGTAGACCGTTGTTCGACATCTTGGGGCACCCAAGCTCTTTCGTTTGTGTCCTGAGGTGAAGCGGCTTTTCCAAGGGCGGGATCCCGAGATGCAGACGTTTTCCCTTGAGCTGACCTAAAGTTGTGGTTACAGCATGGAGGGTTTAGGGCGGCGTGACTGATCTGCACTGTGATTCTGGCTTGGTCTCCTCACTTCTACTACCGTTTCTGGCTTCAGGAAAAGTGCAGGGAAGCCTAAACTCCGCAAACCCTAGCACCACGTGGTCTTGTTGGCTACTAATGGACTTCGAGGCTTCCGTCCATGATCGACTAATGTAGGAACCTGATTAAGAAACCCTGGGCCTATAACACCAAAATAGTAGCATCCATATCAGGAGCCCTAGTAAAGGCCCAAGGTTTCTTAATCAGGTTCCCACACTAACAATGGAGACTGAAGACTTACCAACATTATTCCCTGGAGTTTGCAGTAAAATCTACCTCAATACCCCATGTAATCAAGAAGGCCCCTATACCATTCGAAGCCTTGAGCTGCTGAAGCCGTGGTTACCTTCAGCTACGTAGGACGCATAGGAGGTGCCGCTATGGATGGTATAGGCATGACTATGATTGTTGTAGCAACTAGCCACTAGCAACAGAAACAATCGCCGCAGCAGAAAAATCGTTGTTCATGATAAACGTACTGCGAGCATTCACCCGAACAGCAACACTGGAAGCAGAACAACAAAATCATAGTTGTACTGGGCATCATCGGGGTGATGTGTCAGAGTGTTTGGGTAATGCCAAGAACCGTGCTAATGCTGTAGCCTCGAAGAAGCATCAACTTCTGGTGGTTTTGGCGATGCATATTCGATCCTAGAGGGGAGATGGGAGAGGTCGGAACTCCCGCATCTGCCGCTGCTTGCATGCCTCAGGCTCCCGGAGGGGAGGGGTGGGGTCCGACTCATGTTTTGGCACGCTGCATGTCAGATCCGGCTTCGCTCAGCATCATGATGGCCATGATTTCTGCTGTTGCAATTGTGGCTTCGGTGATGATGATGATGATGAGATGGCTTTGCTCCTGATCATGATGATCGTGGCCATGACGATGATGGCCGCTGGTCATGACTACCATCAGCACGAACATCGTCGTCATCATCATCGTCACCATTTTATTATCAATAGGGCAACTGCGGCTTTGCACCCTCCCATCATGCACCCGCACGGTGTACCTCGACAAGGGCGATGTTGCGAACTTTCAGAGCATAGGGCTGCCACAAGTGCATCGTCGGGGCGCTTGCAGCTGACAGCTGTGAGCAATGCACGGGGTCAGGGCGTTGGGCTCCAATACCTCGGGGCAGGCAGGCATTGGCAGACATGCATCGATTCCTTCGACAGCCTCCCTGCTCTTCGATGGGCTCAAGCTGGGCACTCTATGGCATGATGGCGCGTGGCATGCGTGGGAAAGAGTTGTAATCAGAGAAACAGGCAAGCATGAGCCAGATGCTGTTCTCAGGAAGTACTTATAAGAAGCGAGACCCACAAGCCGCAGCATCACCCGTGCCTTTCTCACCGCTCATCTCAGCCTCGCTGTCAGCATGCGGGCCTGGCATGAGGCGCTCTGGGCGAAGTTTTGAGGGGCAATGATGGGCCCTAGGCATCCGAGATCCTAGCGCGCACTAGAGGGGCCTAAATTATTACCAATACTGTTTTGGGGGCTCTTCATAACAATTATAGTATAATGGGCCCCAAAATCATATTAGGGTTCTTCCTGAGCATTGAACCTGGAAGCGTTTTCCTCGACTATTATGAGCTGAACCTTCGGGCTGTTTTGTTGCGGCCGTGGTTCTAGAGGCACTCTCATGCGAGTTGAGTTAATTGGTTATAGATCCCTCGTCTTACATTGCCGAGACGGTGCATCAAAATACGAACGGACAATCATGCACCCCATTGCAGTCCAGAGCAGATGGAAGCTAGCAGCTAGAAACGAGAGGGTCCAGCATCACAAGGATGTTGCACAAACAGACCATCCCCCTCTTTATGATCCCGATTCGTCCCTGTCGCACCCTGTTCCGCATGTAATGTACTGAGCACCTGATAGCCCCTTACAAAATTTCAAGCGCTGCCTCCGACGTATGAGTAAAGGCTCCGTTTCTCGTCGTTCTCGTCGTTGTGACTCAAACATACTTGGCGTTCTTCTGGTTGGCTCTTAGGACTTTAGCTTTGTGGGTTTCTATATTAACTATAGTAGGGCAAGCAAAAGTTTAACTTTTAGGAGGGGTTCAGAAGTCAGCCAAGTGTCAGGCCCCTATACTAAAGTACCCTTATAGTATCCTTTAAAGGAATCCTTTACAGGAAAGCTTTAAAGGAACCCTATTCTAATCATTAAGGCCAAGCATAATTACCCAAATTTAGCCCGGATCTGGTTTCACTGGCCTCGGTGTATCATGGGGCCTTAAAAACCCGCGATAAACTCTAGGCCAAGTTCACTCCTATACTGTAGGGGCCTTGATAGTTACCTATATTGTTTTTGGAGTTACCTATACTGTTTTGGGGTTCCTTATTATAATTATAGTATACTGGGCCCCAAGACCCTGCTCTAACTATTAACGCCCCGACAGTACATGACTGCTGACAGCCGAGGCCGACCTAAGCCTTCCGCGTAACTCAGAGGACTCTCAGCAGGGAGAAGCTTCTGATTTTTGAGCTTCAGGTTTCGGATGAGGCCTCGGGAGCAGCAGAGCAACCTGAGCGATTGTGAGCGTAATGATGCGCTCTTGGCATGGGGTTGTGGAGGCCCTTTCCGGGCCATCCCCAGTAATTTGCCTCATTGTAACAGTTGGGTAAAGCCGTCTTCCTTGGTTTTGATCCAATAGTAAGGTAACTATAGCTATATCTACCTATAACCCTAATTAAGGTATCTGTAACCCTACTTACTAATTGGTCCAGTTGGCACTGGATGTTGGCTGCGGGACGGTCGTGAACATGCAGTTGCACCCGAGACCATGGTTCAGCTCATTCGCACAGCCACCATATAATACCAATAATAGTAATAATAATAATAGAAATAATAATAATAGTAATAGTAGTAATAATAATAGTAATAATAGTAGTAACAACAATGATAATAGTAATAGTAATAATAGTAATAATAGTAGTAATAGCTAACAAACCTTTCTCAAAAGCACGCAAGGAGTTGTTGCGCATGTAGTATTTCTGACCTGTGCAGGTCCCTTCTGTTTATAGTCAATTTAGTGGTACAGCTTCACAATAGCAACCCCAATGCTTAGCGTCGTGGCTTTCCTAATCTAGTCAAGTGTCTGAAATAATTGGCAAATCATTAGTGCCCGGACATTACTGCCAGGAGTGTCTTTCGGATGCTGAGCTCAAGGAGTGGAGCTCGCGACGCTCAGATGAAGATGGGCCTTGCAGAGAAGTCCCTATATGTGAGAACACAGTCAGTTCTCAAATGCCCACTCGGACCCTCTTGGGCGCTTAGCACAACGTAGCATGTTCTTGATACTCTTATCTACCAATCCTGGGTATTGAAAAGTAAGTAGGACAAGAACACCATCGCCTATTCACAGTTGTTTCATTTTCATAGGTGCAGCTGTTGACGTGTTATGCCAGCGATGACATGGGTTTGTATGAGGGAGGCTCCAAATGCAACATGCTTGGACATGGTACGTCGCCTCTACTCCCCGAGATCTGTCGTCCTAAGCTCACCGCAAGGTTTCGATTGGGAGCAAGACCTGGACATGCAGCCGCTTTGGCCGCAAGCAATCTGCCCGCTCTGTTTACACATGCGAAGGTTTTTTTGAGAAGGCCATGCCTTCACTAGCTACGGCACTCAGACCTTGTTTCCCACATTTGTTGTTGTTTCGTTACTCGTTAGCGGTGAGTGTCACCAGGGCAAGCCCCGAACTAGAGGCCAACCCCCAGGTTGCCTAAACCCTAAACCCCAACCTCAGGAAGGAACTCCGCCTGCGTCGCGAAGCGTGGCTTGAGCAGCACATCATCGTGGTTGAACCCCATGGTCCAGGATATCGGCGAGTGGCACTTCGGTCTTGTACTAATGCCTTGTCATTGCTGTTCTACTCCTGCTCCTCCCCCTCCTCCCACTACTACCACTACTAACGACTAACCACCAACGACTAACGACTAACTACTAACTACAGCCCCCACTACTACCACTACTATGACATACTATGACTACTATTGCGGCTACGACTACTACTACTACTACTACTACTACTACTACTACTACTACTACTACTACTACTACTACTACTACTATTACTACTAGTGCGAATACTACTACGACTACTATTATACTACTACGACGACTACTACTACTACTGCTGCTACTACTACTGCTGCTGCTACTACTGCTGCTGCTACTACTACGACTACTGCTACTATTGCGACTACTGCGACTAATGCGACTACGACGACGACTACGACCACGACGACTACTACTACTGCTGCTGCTACTGCTACTGCTGCTTATACTGCTAGTACTATTACTACTGCTACTACTACCACTGCTGCTACTACTACTACTGTTGCCACGGCTATTGCTACTGCCGCTGGCACTGCTGCCACTACTGCACTGCTGCCACGGCTACTGCTACTACGACAGCGACGACTACTACTGCGACTACGATGACGACTACGACCACTACCACGACGACCACTACTACTACTACTACTACTACTACTACTACTACTACTACTACTACTACTACTACTACTACTATTGCTACTGCTATTACTTCTACTACTGCTACTACTGCTGCTGCTGCTACTACTACTACTACAAGCAAGGACCTTAATAGCAACAAAATTAGTAATGATGACCATAGTACGCAATGATAAGAATGGTTGTTTCACTACTAGCAGCACTACCACTACCACCGTTGCCCGTTGTATGAGCGGGCTACCTGGAGCCCCGGAAGTTCCGATGGGATGTTCCGAAAGCTCATGCCTGAAGAACAGAAGCCATCTCCTTTTGTTGGCCCAGGGTGTATTGGAACGATCCGACATTGGTCGACCTGGACGACCAGAGCCGAATGTGGGAGGTGATCCAAATGGGTGGCCGGTCAGAACGGGTCATGATTTGGGGCAGTATCTCAAGGGATTCCATACTCGCGAGGATTCTCTACTGAAGATTCCCTCGTGGCTGCACCAGCATCTTTAGTTGCACTCCCTACAGTGTTCAATGGGACAGTTTCTGACAGTTTCTGCAAACTACATCTGGAAGCCCTATGACTTTCTGAGAGCAGCGCATGATGTGTCCTAAGGCTTCCAGCAAGTCGAAGACATCCTGGACAGCGTCTGGGCTTGGTCAATCCGCTGGGACTCGAAGCAGAGGGCATAAAGCTGATAAAAACTCATTACTTGAGCCAAGAACTCCGAACTCAGAAGCTACCAAAATCCAGAAAGCCAGAAACCAAAAAGACACAAAACATCAACCAAATCAAACAATATTGCAGCGTTATGTTTTGAAGTTTTCTGAATGGTGAATGACTCCCCAGTCCTGAGGCATTAACCTGGGCCACTATCGCGACTACTTCATAGCCAAGGGCATGTTCTACGGTGCGAAGATGCGTGCGCTGTCACGCAAGTTTCTGGCAGCAGCCTCAGGTGCATGGAATATCATTGTGACACCCTATGCTTACTCTCCCTGCGTGCTGCTAGACTCCGTGAGGATTTACACATGCCAGCAATCACCGACCCAGACGAGAAGGATCGAGAGGGCGGGACACGCGCTGAGAATGCGTTTGTTTGCTTCACTACTCCCTACCAAGATCTGACCGCTGCCCCTCGCCAATCAAGGAAGAATGGCATGCTTGCTTGTGGCCCATGCATGCATACATGCATGTCTGCAGATATGTATGTGTATAGATGCATGTATGTATTTATCTATGTACGTATGTATGCATGTGTGCATGTACGTAGAGGTGCGTATGTACTTATGCATGCACCTATGTCTGCATGTGTATGTCTACGCACGTGCACGTCTTCATCGGCATACAATGCACAAATTCATGCCTCTGGCATGCCTGTGTCCACATAAACATTTGCAAGTATACACACGCACGTGCATACAATGCAAACACAAGACTATCTGGCACAAGACAGCACAGTCTAACACGCTGCAGTATACGACAAGGCAATACCAGACAAAGCAGCACATGGTTATGTATGTGCATCTATACTTAAATAAAACATATATATATATATATGTGAATATAGAAAGATATAAGTATACATACATATATATATATATGCATGCATATAATTTTCATTGAAGTAATAGAATAGTGCTAAAAAACAAGGAGATGAAGAAAGAAGGTATATACGTATATGTATATATATATATATATGTGTAATGTGTATACCTTTAGAGGTGTATGTGTATGTATATGCACATGTATATGTATATGTACATGTGCATATGTTATGTACATACATCTATGATATTGTGTATATATATATATATATATACATATATGATACGTATATCCGCCTACATGTTATACGCAATACACACATACACATGTACGTACATGTACAAGCACACATGTGTGTATGTGTGCATGCAGTCAGTCATGTATGTACGTATGCATGCTGCTTGCACGTATACCTGTATGTACCCATATCTGTGTATGTATGTCAGTGTGTAAGTAAGTACTGTATGTATGTATGTATGTATGTGTATACATATATATATATATATACATATATATACATATATATATATATATATATATATGTACGTGTATGTGTGTGTGTGTGTGTGTTTGTCTTTCTGAATGCCTTTGTGCATAGATACATAGATACACATCATCATACATGTATGTCTGGACATATGTAAATATTCACGTGCAAATAGACGAATGCGCATGTGTATGTGTATATGTACCTATATACACATACATACACATGCATACACGCATGAAGGCATGCATGTGCATGCACAGATGTATGTACACTTATGTAATTAGGTATGCATGCATGTAGGTAGGCAGTCAGGTAGGTATGTAGGTAGGCAGATATGTGTTCGCATACAGATATGTGTATGCACTTGTGTGTGTGTGCGTGTGTGGTATGTTCTGTGTTGATGTGCGTGCATGTGTGTTCTCACACCTTTTGATGCGAGGATCAGCTTCTGGAGGTGTGCGCAACGGCCTAAGCCTCAGTACTGGTTGAGCACATACTGCTTATGCCCCGGGTACAGGGATTCGCAAAGAAGCTTTGAAGAAGTCGAAGGCGACCATGATGCTGAGGCGGAGAAGCGTGAGGATAAGGATATGGCAGTATCAACATGATGATGAATGCTGGTTTTCACCTTGACTATCTTGGCTTTTCGTGGTCTTGTTCCTGCTGCTTCTGCCGCCTAGACCTAGACTACATCCACTGTGCGTCGTCGTGTTCTTGCTCTCGATATTGTTGTTCTTGTTGTGGTCGTGGTTGTGGATGTGGCTGTGGCTGTGGTTGTTGTTGTTGTCCTTCTTAGTATAATTATTGTCCTTGTTATTATTATTATTATTATCATTGTTTTCTTATTGTTGATGTGGTTGCTTGTGTTGAACGTTGGTGTTGGTGTCGTTGTCGTTGTTGTTGTTGTCGTGGTTGCTGTTGTCGCAGTTGTCCTTCTTGTTGCTGTTGTTGCTGTTGTTAGTGTCGTCGTCGTCGTAATTGTTTTCATTTTCGTCTTCGTCGTCGCTGTCGTCGTTGTCACCGTGGGTGTTGCTGTCATTGCTGGCGTTGCTTTGTTCAAGCTGTTGTTGCCGTTGACGTTGTCGGTGGTGGTGCCGGTGGTGGGGTTGCTGCTGGTGGTGCTGTTGGTGTTGGTGATGGTGGCGGTGCTGCTGGCACTGGTGGTGCTGGTCGTGTTGGTGGTGCTGGTGCTCGTGCTGATACTCGTGCTGGTCGTTGTGGTCCTTGTGGTGTCGTTGTGGTCGTGGTTGGGGGGGGTGTCGGTGGTATTGGTGTCGGTGCGGTGCTGCACCAGGATCTTTCCCAAAATTTTCCTTGTAGATCCTGCTTCAGGCTTGCAAAGACGAGAATATTCGGCTGTTCCCTTACCGCTACGGCGATCCTGACAAGCTGCTGCACGTCTCTCGCTGAGCTTATGCGCGTCCGGTTCGTGGGTTCAGGATTGGCGATGTGCGAATATACTGCAGGTTGCCGAAATTGAAAAGACCAGTGACTATCCTTGCTCGAGTACAGCTTCGGATAGTTGCAATGCACCTACCCCACAGGAACGGCACCCCTTAAACCCTACATCCTAGAGGCTTGCCACGAAGGGAGGCGCTTTTTGACGGAGAAGCCGGGGCCCTAGCTGGGTGAACCACGTTGCCAAATTCATGTACAACCACGAAGTCCTCGGTTGCCGTCGCTGCCGCTGTTGCTGCTGCTGTTGTTGTTGCCGCTGTGTTTGGGGTTGTTGTGGGGAGCTGCTTGGACAAATGTCTGGACATTCTCTGAAGAATCTGAAGGAATGTGGCTGAGCTCACATGTTGCAACTGCATCACCATAGTAGTATCAGACTAAGCCACCAAGCTGTTGCAGCCAGCATGCCTGGCCACGTGGCAAGGTACACTCAAGGCTGGTTCTGCGACATATCGCTGCACCCGGGCCGCACCCAGTTGAGTGTTGCAAGTTGTAAGTCCCCGTGCCTAAGCCTGAACCGAAACGTTGACCCCTGAACTCAAGTCTCAGCAGGTAGAACCAGGAGCTTAACGAAAACAAGAACTCTTGTCTCATTCTTAGATTCTTACCAGATGGTCTTATCTGTGGCAAGTCGTCTTGGGAAGTGCGTTGTAGCTTTCTTGATGCCCCCATAATATCCCCCTAGTCCGAAACAGAGCTGCAGTTTCGCAAATCGCAAAGCATAGCCTCATTTCCAATCTTTACGGCCCCTTACCATGCGACTCGAGGATCTCCTACCCCTTGATGGTTGATGCCTACAACAAGTCCCACATGCTAGCTGAAGAGGCGGGCTTCTGGGATCCTTCGATGACGAACATGTTTTCCCAATCACTCCTGCAAGGATCATCTGAGGCAACTTCCATGCCCACAGAGGCATTGAATGAGATGGACGAGCACACACGCAAGCACGAACGAACAGACGGTAGGGTCATGAGCAGGACAGAGTTATGCATCTTTGCATGTCAGGACAAGCAGTCAATCCGGGCATACGACTCCTGGGCCTCTCGTCTCAAGTTTCGCTGTGATGGAGCTGGGTTTGACTGGGTATGATAGAGGCGACTGCATAGAATTCGCCTTTAGTGCACCTCCTTCGACCCAAGCAGGTCAGACAGTTGGGGTGAGCTTAGTATAAGTGCAAGGTGCGCGCGCCCATGTTCCAGGCTTTGTAATCACCATTAGCTATATTAGATTGTCAGACTGACATGTACCACTGACAGGCACCGGTGCTTGCATGTCCGTTCTGTGGCCAAGTATATAGCCGGGCTTTGCTTCGTCAACCAACGACCGCTAGTTCCGTTCTCTGCGGCCCGCTTGATTGCAGGAGCTACAACTTTACATTTTACATGTTATGCTCACGTCATTACAGTGCAGCTGGCTCCCTGTCGCGCTCTCTCTCTCTCTCTCTCTCTCTTTTTTTTTCTCTCTCTCTCTCTCTCTCTCTCTCTCTCTTTCTCTCTCACTCGCTTGTCCCTGTTTTTGCGTGGAGAGTCTTTTGCACCAGTAAGAGCGTATACATGTCAACAACCTGTATGAAAATCACTCTAATCATATCGGCCGGAAGACTGCCATAAGCGTGTGCAGCGTCGCCGAGGTCTTCGGCGCTGACTCCGCTGGCCGACTGTACCTCTTCCCGCAGAGCGACTCGAAGGTCCGGGAGAAGCGAAGCCGAAGCCTCCCAAGAAGCTCTCGGTTTAGGGTTTAGTGGTTTAGGGATTGGGGATTAGCGTTCAGGGTTTAGGGTTCAGGGTTTAGGGTTCAGTGGTTTAGGGATTGGGGATTAGGGTTCAGGGTTCAGGGATGTTCAGGGTTTAGGGTTTGGGGTTTGGCAGAGAGCTCAGTGAGCCGCAAGACTGACCTTCAGAATGCAGTCCCGAGCGCCTCTCCGCCACAGGTGCCGCCATGTGTTCGCTGCTCACCTGCAACCCGTATACTTCTGCATCCAGTGCGGCTTCAATTCCAATACCGCGGCAAGCTAAGACTTGAGTCAGCTTTGCTTCGTGGGTTTTTAAGTCCAGGGCCAGTCAAGTGCGAAGCCCAAAGCATCGGAAGGTATGAGCTCATGTGTCCATCAGAATTGGTGGCAAGTACGGCTCCTCTTACATGGGCTCGGTTCTCCCCGCATACGAGTCCAGATCGGAAGACTGTACCCGTATGCTCAAGTGCTCAAAGACTGATAGAGGCGAGAGCGACCAAGCAGTGTGTCGCCAGACTTCCAAGCTCGGCGTGGATGGCAAAGCTGTTGCAGGCTTTCCGCACCTCTCAACCAAACACCAAGTTTGTCCTAAAGACCCTCGACGAGCCTAGTCCTTCCTGCAATACCCCAAAAGTCTTCGTCTGAAACCCCGAACTGGCCCATCCGCTTTATCCGAATGAGGGTGCCCCCGGCTCCACAGCATCTCCGTGTTGGACGCGGCCGTGGACTGGACACGCCGGCGTTTCTTGGGATCCTGTGGATTTCTTGTTGGATTCGGGCTCAAGGGCAGCTTCAGTCCCTGAACTTCAACGAAGGAGTGCTCTAATGGCAGTATATGAGGACCCGGGCAAGCGTTAGGCACATGCCTTGGTCCCATGCCATGCCATTGTCGATGGCCGTCGGAGTCGCTTCGTCGGTGTCACTGCTGAAGGCTCCAATCACCTCATTCAAGCATTGCGCAAAATCCGCATTGTGCTGGGCTTTTCGATCGGGGCCTGGTGCCGCTGACGGGACGCTTCTCATCCTTGAGACCTTAGCCAGCGGCTAGTTGGAGCCAGGAAAGCCATGCGAAGCGTGTCGGTCGGCATGGAAGGGATTATGAACTTCTACAATCTTGAGAGCCTTGGGATGCAGTATCGGAGTGGGCCTGTTTCGTCTCCCCCTGAAGCGCAACGCGAGAGATGATGGGGGAAGGGCAAGTCACAGCTCAGTTATGGATACGATCGGAAGAAAGCAGCTCTCCGAGGGAGATATTAGCTAACAAGACACTTCGGGCATGAGTTGACAAGTGCAGTGATTGCGAGATTGGCAAGTGGAAGGTGCTTCTGAGACCTTGGTACGTTGTCCATTAAGGAAGGATGCGGTGGAGCACTCGCTGCATGTTGCGGCTGCATCTCGGATGCACAGCCTTCGTGATGTGCTGTCCAGTCTGAGCTCCATTGCATTGGGGGAATTGGGGGAAGTTTCGATCGTCGGAGAAGGTGAAAAAGAAGCAGCTGCAGCGAATCCACAGCGAAGAGGATATGAGCACGTATTCTTCTCAAATTGGGTAGGCGGACTGCACTTCTGCCTTGTTCAGCACGGCCCTAAAAAACCCCAAGAGTGGAAGCCCCAACATCCACCTGTTATCAGCGTCAACGGCCCAACAAAAATTCGAAACTCGCCGAAACCACAAGGATCTAAACCCTAAATCCTAAGCCGCAGCTCAAACCTCAAACCCCAAGGTCTTCAACATGCTGAAAACCCCTGCCTTCAGAGACCCCGCCCGAAAACAAAACGAAAAGGACCCTAAATCCTGCACCGTAGACCCTCAGGTTCCTATACGGGAGTTTCCGATAATCGGGGACCCTGATATAGTACTCTAAATAATAGGACCCTTGTCTGAGGCCTGCAGCCTGTCAGCGTCCAAGGACTTCTGGAGCGCCCTGGACGCGGACTTCGAACTGGAGCTCCAGCTGCAAACCTGAAGGGGCTTACTATAGGGGTTAAGTAATTACAAATACTATTTTTTTGGTGGGGGGGAGGTCCTTGTTTTGATTATCGTATGATATACCCCCCCAAAACCCTATTCTAATTAGTAAGGGCCCGATGGTAGGGTTTTGGAGTTTGGGGTACAAGGGTTTAGGGATGGTTTAGGGGTTTCAGGGGGGTTTACTTGTACGGTTTTCAGGGCTGAAAGCCTTAGGGTTCTCCGGGCTTTGTGGGTTCTAGGCCGTCAGGATATTCAGGTTTGAGGGCTCTTCAGTGCGAGGGTTCTGGGCTCAGGGTTTCAGGGGGGCTGGAGTTTTGGGGGTTTGGGCCTATGTTTGAGCCCTAAGGGCCGAAGGGTGGCGGAGTTGCAGACTTCGGTTTAAGCGATCGTCTCCTTAGGAACTATTTTTCATTTTGGTTCATATAAAACCCAAGAGAAGATTGAAAATACAATTTTTATTATGGTTCTAAGGGGGGTATAGTAGGGTTTAGGGTGCCAGAGTTCTGGGGTCCAGGCTCGTGAGTCTGGAGCTCCAGGAGGGTAAGAGACGATGAAGTTTGCCGGTGGGTTTAGGGTTTAGGATTTAAGGTTTAAGGTTTAGGGTTTCAGGGGTTTAGGGTTTTAGGGGTTTAGGGTTTAGGGTCTTAGGGCTCTAGGGTTTAGGGTCTTAGGGGTTTAGGGTTTAGGGGAGCTCTTGAGATGTAGTGTTCTATTGGGGATGTGCCTTGGTCGTGCGCGCGGCTTTTCGAATCTGGAAAGGTGGGGATGTTAGGAGCAAGGAATCATGCTTTGCAGATGCTCGCCGATGCTACTGCTCACACAATACTAATACTATGAACAAGTATACTCTGTTAAGACGAATTGACATCTTTACTTTAATAGTAACAATACTCTCCTTCTAGTAGGGCTAATAATGCTACCCAATGAACTATTACTAACAATACCAACAAATACCAATAATACTAGTCGTAATGACACTTGCAACAGTAAAACGTATTCGTATACTTATACACTGATAGTGCATATCGTAATGACAACCATCGCAGTATCAGTAATGGTTCCTATAGTAGACCATTAGGTACCTCATTTTTAAACTAGTCAGCGTCATAGGCAAAATTATCATACGACTAAGTATAAGACGAGAGTATCTACGCCCAAGCCCCCGGAGGCGGCGGAGCTAAGCAGACCCTAAGCCTCAAGCACGAAGCCGTACATGCTACACCTTAAGACCTAAACCTTGAAACCCTGAGCCGTTCATCTCAGGGAAATATGGCGGCCGGCCTTTCCAGTGGCCATCTCCAGCTTGTGGACCTGGAGCTTGCGAAGCCGCTCGGGGCAACCTGGATAGGTAGGGTTTAAGAGTTTAGGGTTTGGGGATGTTTACGGCTTATTATAGGGCTTATGGGGCTTATAGGGTTTGGGGATGTTTGGCCAAGCATAGGGGCCCTGGAAGCGTGAGTGTGCTTCTTGTCAAAGCTCCGAGCATGCCAGGGTCAGGGGAAGTTATAACGGGGGTGGCCAAACAAATTCCGCTTTGGAGTTGGAGCCCGGGAATTCATGATGAGAACTCTAAGGTTTAAAGAACCCGTGTTCAGAGTCCTGCACACTCCGGATTTTCATGTCCAGGCCAGTTTGCATGATCCCGAGCCACGCTGCGATGGTGCGGAATGCGCTTCTTCCGCAAAGACGGCCACGTTGGGGGCTGGTCTGAACCATGTTTCCGTTTCAGTTTCCCTACAGTAGGATACAAAATTTTCTAGTACATCCCTGTTAGTGCAGAGGGATGCAGATTTACGGATTCCATGTTCTGGAGCATCAGGGTAGGTTGAATGCCCCATTGTTTGGGAGCATTTTGGTTTCTGGTTGAAGGTTGCATGTCGAAGGTCACGGATAAGCGTCTCCGGCACGAAAAGTGTTGAGTTTTGAGGCAAAACCTGACAATGACCCATTTCGTTGGGGCTTCGACTTTGCCGTGTGTAACAGTTGTCAGAGAGTGCGATGTGCTTTCTGACCTGGCATCGGGGTTTGCTGTTTGCAAGGTCAAAGCCAACTGGACGACGAACGAAGTCGCGTCTTGCTCCTATGATGGTGCGGGCCCGAGTCTAGATCCAGCCCGCAACAGAGCTCATCGCAGCTGCATAAACTTGCATTGATGTCGCTGATCTTCGCTTCCACGAAGTGTCTTCCGAAATAGCAGAAGCCTTACTCCGTTCTGAAGAGGCTTCATCAACCTTGTCGATGCGCGCACCACCAAGACGGTTCGCCGCCTTAAGGGGGAGGGCCAGTGGGCAACTCGGAGGCAAGCAGAAGCTCCCTGGTGGCTTAGGGTCGCTAAGTATTGTAGTTCATGGGTTTGGGTGTGTGGCAGGGCAGGCGGCTGGAGTGGGTCAAATGGCTATGACAAGACATATTGAGAAGAGTCGCTGCTTTGTTTCCCCTAGGATGTAGAATGTAGATATCCCATTCACAGCTGTCCCCTTGGAAAACAGCTGGCTTTTTTTGGTATCTTACAAGGGTGGAAAGCGCACATGCATTCCACGAAGAAACTAATCTTAACCGTACTCAACTGCATAGTAACCAGTCGCCCTCTACTCACCCTACAATAACCCCTGGCCCGATGATACCCTTACGTAGAGGATCATGGGACTTTGTCAGTAGGGTTATAGGTAAGGTAACTATATATAGTTATACTTACTTATGACCTTAACTAATTCAGGTACTTATAACCCTATACTAAGTCCCATGACCCTCTAAGTATGACACCCCTACAATATCCAGTTTGCAGCTAACTTGAAGGATGCCATGGATGTCTGCTTCGACAAGCAGATTGCCCTTGCCGCCTCCAAGTTTGAGCCTGCAACCACCCTGTGGGACCTAAGGCGCCTGTGGGTGAGGTGAGGACAGGTCCTTGTCGATATTGTGTGTGTGCGTGTTTTGTATAATCGATCTGTAAATAGACACTGTGCGTGTATGTACTTGTATATATGCATGTTACATTGGGACGCCAAGCCTCGAAGTCCGGCCCCTGGTCCCCTGCCAGGAGTGGGCAGGTGGTTCGCGAATACGCCGCTCGGCGCAGATACCAAGAGTTACAACAGGTACTAGTATGGAACTCTGCAAGCCGGCGAGTAAGTCAGGTAATCTAACAATAGAAACGGCTCTTGCCGTAGTCCTGCCCCAGGGTTCTCATCAAGTCCTTCAGCCTTGGTTAGGACCTTCCTGGCCACCGCCCGAATTGCATCAACGTGGACTGGAAGACCATGACGGCCTGCACCGGCGCCGACGATGGGAAGGTGCCTCGGAAGCAGGTTGTGGCTCGTGCTCTCAAGATGAAGGGCTCCAGCCCCGACACAAAAGTATTCTGTTGAAAGCCGTCAAGATGTCTAAGAAGATGCCTGATGCACGACATGTTGAGAGCCTGTTTCTTCATCGTTTTGCATGTAATAGCTCAAGCTCAAGAGGAAGGAAGTACTGATGTGAGCGACATCTGGCTGACCGCGAAGCGTTGTTGCCAGGCATGACTTTTGTCGTATTTCTCTGATGGAAGCAATGCAAGACACTACACGACATATGCCTCAACACTGCTACTTAACTTCACCGACTCCATTTTAGGTAGCCTTTTCGGCCGAAAGATCAAACATCTGACTTGTCGAAGGTGATGTTTTGGGATTTGGAAACTGGTGAAGTGTCGCAGACGATCGATTGCGGCTCGGCCATGCAAGGGTTTGGGCATGTTGCAGCTGTCCACCATTGTCGGCTGAACATGGCATCCACAGAGCCTTGGAGGTGGCAGGCAGTTTGTGCGAGGTGGCAGAGTATAAGCATACTGCGTCATTCCTACGGAGAGCCTCTGAATATCAGCCCGGGGAGCACGCGTCCAAATCATTGATCGGCACATGCTACGCTGTGATAGAGACTTACTGTCCTAACCAGATTCCTCGACACCTATCATGTGGTTTCACATCACCAGTCAAAGCTCGAGACTGACCAGCCAGAAGACGCAGCAAGGGAGATGCTAAACTGTGGGGGCCTAGGAACTCATGCGCCCCAAAAACCGTAAAGCCCAGGCGAGCACTTCCTCACACAGTCTTTGGACATTTGCTGGTCCCGCGGCTTGCTCCTCACTGGATCATTCGCCGCTCGGCTCGAAGACGGCACGAGATGGATCAGATTCACCTGAGATTTCCAGTACGAAGTGTGCATATCTATCTACCCATGCCTGCATGCATGTCTCTAGGTTGGTACTTCGGTAGGTAGGTCGGCAGGTATCAGGCAGCTTACGCATGCACGTGCGTTTGCATGCACAGCTGCTGCAGCAAGCGACCTCGTGGGCTTTGCAGGGGTTGTGCAGCTAATTTCCAGACCCACCTTCGACGGAAGGAAATCAGGGCCCCCATTTTCGTCATTTCTGGTGGCCGCAACTCCTCAAGAATTCCAAGCTCACGAGGCCACAACCACAATCACCGACAGGGGAACCTTCTCAGGCGACACAAATCACCCACCGAAGACTAATCCGAGTTGGGGAGGCGGGACCGTAAACAGTGTAGTATAGGGGCCTAAATGATTACCCATATTATTTTGGGGGGTTCCTGATTATAAGTATAGTACATTCGGAAGCAAAACCCTATTCTACTTATTAAGGCCCCCCATGCAATGGGTTTCCAACCTTATCATATCCAGAAATACATCTCATAATCCCGGGCCAAACCCAGGACTACCAGTTCAAGCTTTGGGATGTGAAGTCTGGAACTCTGCTGAAGCGATTCATCGAACCCACGCGTTGCCTCACGCGCGTCTTCTTGCAGTGAAGCCGACAAGGACGCCTCGGGAAGCAGATAGATGATATTATATATATATATAAACATATAGATGATATAGGACTTTTTTCCAGACTTATTTACTGCATTTGGCAGTTGGGCGACATAATCAGCATCTTACTATCTGCGATTTAGCGCTGGCATGAAGGTCCCTCTTTTTTCTGAAGCTCAGGTGTTGCTGGGTTCTGCGACACGTCATGTTCACAGGGGCTGGGTCGCCATGTGCTTTGAGTACAGTGTGGTAGAGAGCATGTGATGTACCTTCTGGTCTTCTTCTTGTCCTAACCTTCCCACTTGGGCCAGGGCCTGTGCGATTCAAAAGGGCCTGTAATCCTGAGGAGCTCCCAATCATGCTGAAACGAGGGCAGGTTCTTGAGTTAAGTTAAGCCACCACCCGTCTTCTCTACCCGACTCGGTGTCGCTAATTCTTTTCCGATGCAACGGATCCTAACCAGGTCTGGTTAGCCGGTGTCCAACAGAAGGAGTCGAGTATGAACTCCACCTGGGGGCTCTGCGATAGAGTTCGAGTTCTCGCAAGCTTTGCTCCATCTTGTCAGACATCAATGTTCCAGTGTGGTGAGGAAACTGCTCCGAGCCACAGCCACTTCCCATGTCCCGGCAGGAGCACATGGCCATGGACGCTGCCCAGAATGGAGTTTTTGGAATGCATGCAGACAATTTCTGGCACTCAGTGCTGCAGAATTCAAGCGAATTGAGTGGAGCAGGCGAGGACTTAACAGCTGTTCGGTTGGTAAGCGCTCATTCTTAGTTCGTTCCTCCTAAGGGTTGTGTTTCCGGAAGAGACTGTCCTCGCTTGTGTTGCAAGAGGTTTTTTGTGCATCGTCCTCTGTAGGCTCATTGCGAGCCTGAGCAAGTAGCTCCAAGGCCACATTTGAGGGTGCCAAGTTGGGCCCCGTCACTCGCCTGCCCTCATGACTCGAATCTGTAGGTCAAGCATTTGGCATGGGACCCGACTTGGAGAAACACCCCCTGGCCGCACATCCTTATACGGGCCCGATTATCGGTGATGATCAGCCATGCCGCGCGTTCTGCGCAGAGCCCTGGATACAGACAAGCTCTCGGAGTGGTTTGCAGAGAAGTCCAGAAGTGAGGACGACCGTAAACAACACGGTTTGGCTCTAAGCCGTGGTTGTCGTTCTGCTTCGACAAGCAACATGGCATCAAGGTATGCTAAGCAAGTCGGTGCCATGGGAAGGTAATCGGCAGAGCCCCAGAAACGCTCTTACTGGCAGCATCATGCATCCTAGGCTCGCAGGCTCAGTTGCCCGGATACGATGCTGCTGCATCATTTAAGTCCATGAATTCGATCACCGGCAGAACTGCCAAGGCACCAGCTGCCCTCTCCACCATATCCAGTGCAGAGTGGCCTACTCTATCAGAGCCTGCATGCCACCTTCACGCTGCGCATCTTGCGCGTCTGCTCTGTGTATAACAGCACGAGTCAACCCCTCTCAGAATATGCCCAGCTGGATTTGAGTGAAGGCTTCTCAAAGGAAAGGTCTTCGCGATATGTGTCAGCATTCCAGTTGGACTGGAGTCGTGGCGTTGCCTCCTTAAGTCTAGGTTATAGACGCCTCAGCTTTGAGAAGATCCGAACTCACGGGGGACTTGCTAATGCGGTCGAGATCACACGACCCCATCGACCGGTGGGAAGGGGAGGGATGTAGAAGTGAATCGGGTGCAGATACACGCATGATGGACGATTCTGGACCATGTTTTAGGCAGCCTCGGCCGTGCATCCCAAGACGGCGTCCGGTCGCTCCCGTGTGAACTCGATCGCGAAAGGATACATGCTCTTTCCGGCCATTCTTCGACTGTGCCGAGACTCCGCGAGGAAAACTCCGATTCCGTAGAGGCATTTGCTTTTAATCTTTGCCAAAATGCAGAATGATCAGATTGTAACGATGTTGCGATTCTACCATATGCCTTTCCAGTGGAATTGCTTCGATTGCTGTTCGCGTATGCCCATGGCCCATGATACAACGAGCCTTTGGATACCCTGACTCCAGCGAGCTGGAGCTGGCCACTCATCCAATGCCATCCTCATACCGTTTAGGGTTTAGGGTTGGTGTTTAGGGTTTATAGGGTTTAGGGTTTAGTGACTCATACCCCTAATGACAGCAATGGTAACGACAAGGAAGAGATGTTGAGATGATGAGTCGTCATCATAAGACGAACATTGGCAGCACAGGTTTAACAGCAGTAGCAGGCCAGTACCTCTAGTAGCCCTGGCAAAGACGAAAGTCCTGACAATCTTGCTCGAACCCAGCAGGCCATGTGGGCTCTTCGACGTGGACCCGAAAGCCAGTAGCCTGGAAACAGCCTTTAGGAAAAGATGCGCGAAGATAGTTTTCGTGTGCTACAGTTTTGCATTTCGGAATTGACTTTTGGCCAACATCATCATGGTTCTGGCTACAGATAGTGTACAGAGTACAGAGTATAGAGTTCACGACCTAGGGGTTGGATCGAAGAGGCCCTTGTTTACTGCGCCCCAGAAGGCTAGCTGTATCTTTGATACGGGTCCATCAAATTCAATAGACCTTCCTTCAAAGAAGGACCCGTCTTCAACAAGATTGGCTCTAGCAAACACAAAGTATATGATGTATATAATATAATATAATACAATATAATATAATATAATATAATATAATATAATAATATAATATAATATAGTAGAGTAGACTATCTACATATATATAATACAGTATATATACTATCTAACATATGTATATATATATATATATGTATGTATGTATGTAATGCCTCAGGCCACAGCCTTGACTTTGCGTCCACTTTACGACCGGCTTCGCCTGGGCATGGGCCCTGGTCCGTAGATGTCTTGCTTTTGCTTCGAGCCACGCAGGTGGCGGTGTGGCAGGGGCGGAGGATCCTCCGAAAAGAGGTTTGACGATCGAAAAGAAGAGGGAAGTACGCATGTGCGCGAGCGGACTCATGGCACGGCATGAGACTGTTGGATATTATCTCCACTGCTTTGATTTGGCTGTCATCGGCTGCGCCTTTTGTTGACAGTAGTCGATGCCATGCCCTCGCGCAGGCCGAAGCCTCGCAAATGTAGCCTGAACAATGCTATTCCGTAGGGTGTCCTTTCTACAAAACACTTATCGTGAGTAATATACCCCAAAAAGCCCATCAGATCCGGCCGGTGCACAGCATTCAGCTGACGCTAGCCGCGATTCGCTTCCTTCTTGAATTGGGGGTGCCGCGTTCAGGAATCCTTATAGTCAGGATGTTGCCATTCGTACCACATCTCGAAATTTTTGAATGCCCAGGATTAGAAGAGCTTTGTCGCAAGCCGGAGGGGCACCTGCACTACAAGCTGGCCCGGGGTGCAGGCTGCCAGCCCGTTCGTTCGTTGCAACGTTGCTTTGTGGCCCTCAAGAGGCATGCCTGGGATCAGATAAAGGTTCTGATGGGTCAGTTCGGCTACGCACTGAATGTAGGCTTTGCAACGCAAGCTGCCGCTGCTTCCCTCCAATGTGCATCCACTGCGGCTGCCATTATCGGGAGAGTGAAAAACTGATAGGGCCAGAACATGATGGGTTCTCTTCGGTCCGATAGTTTTGGCGCAGGACGCGTCACATTGACGTACATGCTGAGAAGATTCGCCGCGCACCCGGTATTCCAGTCCTCAAGATTGAGCTTCTCTAGATGAGTGCTGATAATGTATTGACAGGTGGTGCTCGTAGAAGTAGGTGGAGTAAAAAGTCATAGTCATCGTAGTAATTAGTAGCAGTAGTAGTCGTCGTCGTCGAAGCAGTAGCAGTCGTAGTAGCAGTAGTAGTAGTAGTAGTAGTAGTAGTAGTAGTAGTAGTAGTAGTAGTAGTAGTAGCGGTAGCGGTAGCTTTAGCGGTAGCAGTAGTAGTAGCGGTAGCGGTCGCTTTAGCGGTTGCAGTAGCAATAGCAGGGGCAGGAGCAGCAGCAGGAGCAGCAGGAGAAGTGGCAGTAGCAGTAGCGGTAGTAGTAGCAGTAGTAGCACAAGTAGTAGTAGTAGTAGTAGTAGTAGTAGTAGTAGTAGTAGTAGTCGTCGTAGCAGTACTACGACGACGGACGACCGACTACTGCTACTGACGACGACTGCTACTTCTACTACTACTCCTACGACCGACTACTACAGCTACTGCTACGCCTACTCCTACTCCTCCTCCTCCTCCTCCTAATACTGCTACTACTACTACTGCTACTACTACTACGACCGACTGCTGCTGCTACTGCTACTGCTACTACTGCTACTACCACCACTACTCCTGCTGCTGCTGCATCTACAACTACTACCACCAATACTGCATTTCGCACTACGAATATGACTAGTATTTCTACGATCACGTCCTGTACGACGATAACGAGGAGCGTACTGAGAACTTGTTTGCTATTTCAATCGCGGCCATCATGCGGTGTTAGTACTGGCAGGGCGGCAAAACCACTACGAGCAAAAGGCAGCCAGAAGAACGAGATGGAATCAACAGCATCATTTGATGGTGGTTTTAATGTTTGTGGCACTTATCTCGCAGAGCCACGGAACTGCCCAGGGGCCACGCTTGGTAGGGGACGCGAGACTCTCGCCGCAGCAAGCGTGCGAAGCCCAGATGCCGACCCAGGCAGGTTGGGGTGATTATGAGAACAGCAGTACCTGATATACTTACCCAGCAACATGTTGCAAGATCAGCAGCGGTAAACCTATTGGGACAGCATCATCCAATAAAAAAGGATGATGTTTGCTGCCGAAGTAGCTCCTGAAAGTCACTATAGTAGTCGAATTGGTGCGGTTGACTTGGGTTTCGGGAAGTTGATGGTGCAGGGTTGTGGTCTTCACCACAGAAGCGGAGCATTTTCGCACGTACCGCGAGGTTGCTGGGTACACTCACGGCCTCCGTGAGTACTGCTGCTGATAATGATACCGACGATAAGCTTGCCCTAGCTGTCAGCTGTCCTTCTAAGTACTCGATTCCGAA